AAGTGGCAACGAGAGAGAGAGAGAGAGAGAGAGAGAGAGAGAGAGAGATCAGGAGGTTTCGCGATCTTCGAGATTCAATTAGCTCTTTGACCAAGGGTGCTCGTTAGTTTGTCAGCTTCGCAAAATAAGGGGCTCATTGAATTTTTTATCGAACCGAATCTCGATTCCATCGCGGCTCCATCGAGTTATCTCTCTCGTTCTCTCTTCTCTCCCTGTCTCCCGCTACCGTGCGATCTCGACTCGGCTAACGATGGCCAGTCGATGGACAGTCCCCTGACAGCTCTTAGAAAGTATCTAAATTTAAGAAGTGGCACCACCGTTCCTCTCGATACGACGCGATTCTGTCGCGTGGCCCGTCATCTGCTCCTTCGTAACGCAACGAGACGAACGTTGGAAGTGGGAAGAGAGCGACGATGCGATGGAGCGTAGGAGGGCAACCAGGGGGTCCTAGGGTCCAGACTCGGTTAACCAGAGCGATGGAGTGAGTCAAGATAGAGAGGGGGAGAAGGGGAGGGAGAGAAAGAAAGAGAGAGAGAGAGAGAGAGTCGAGGGGCAGCATGCGAAAACATGTCGTCTTGGCACTCGGCTTCGGCAGACGACGAGATAAATAGCGTGCGTGGGTGCGGCTCGACGATGTCTACGGGCCACACGCCACGTTTCGAGCGGATCGGGCGAGCGGAGCCACGGAATCGTGAGGAGGACGACGCGAGTGCGGATGAGCGCACGAGCGAGCGAGATCGCCAAAGACCGGGAGGAGGGAGAGAGGGGGGAGGAAACACGCCGGTGCTACAGAGACGAGGAGAGTTCTTACTCACGTTTTAAGTGCATCGACGACGTTTTAATGGCGCATCAGGTAGGAGTAATGCGCGTCGCCCTCGGGATTACTCCGCAGTCCCCTTTGATTGTCGTCTCGCGGGGATATTTATGCGTTGTCGGGATAAATAGAAGAGCGACGGGCAAGGGTGGCAACGGGGAGGGCAAGGGGGGTGGGGAGAAGCGGACATAATTAACGATCGAACCGCGGGGGTGTAAGCTGCTGCATGGATGGGCGGTTCGCCGAAAAATCTCACCTGATTAGTAAGATTGAATGCGCCGCGGCTGCAAGAACTCTAACGAGCCACTCCGGCGGCTTTGACGCCACCGAGAGAGACGATCTCTTTTTTTTCCTTTCTAATCGAGCAATCACCTGTATTTCCGATCATACACCCTTTTTGCGAATTTTTGACTAGGAAGAGAGAAAGAGAGAGAGAGAGAGAGAGAGAGAGAGAGAGAGAGAGAGAGGAGAAATAAGATAATTAAACAATTAAAAGAAAAAAATGAGATCCAGCTCTTATTGACTTTTATCGTCTCCGGTTGAGGACCTTGATAAAATAAATTAAATTTCAACTTTATTTATTGTTCTTATTGATTTGAAAAGAGAGGTAAAATCTGCTTTAACTCTTTATAACGATACTACTTAAAGCGATATCTGTTTCAATTATTTACAAAACTCATTTTCGTTCATTTATAACGAAACCTTAACAAGTTTGAAACGAGACGGGTTTGAAACGGCCAAATTTTGGACGAAGAAATTTCTCCACGAAGGGAAAAATGAGGAGGGGGCGGGCACGAGGATTGTAAGCAAAAATAGTCTGAGTAATAACAGTTGACTGAGTACGGCTTGTTAATACGGGTGTGTGAGCGACCTCGCGTGATATTAATCCGCGTTACAGCTTCTGAATTGCCAATTATGAATCATTATTGAGTGCAAATCGCTTCGGCATATCGCCGGCGTCCTCGCGACTTGCCGCGAGACCGTGCGTACGTCTCGTGATTTATACGACGTCGCGTCATTACGCTCACGGGTGGCAAATTACGGACCAACTGTAATTTATAGCCAATAAATATGACGCGTATTGTGCACGAGGCGGCTGCTGTTGGCGCACGCTCGATCGCGCGATATGACGATTCAACAATCTAATATAATAACGATCTGTATCAATCATCTGTATCGTTGCATTTGAAAAGTGCGGAAAGTGCGAAAGAGACGTTTGCCGTCCCCTCCCTCCTTTCTCTCTCTTTGTCTCTCTCTTCCTCCACGTCCAATAGATAATAATGTACTGTCTGGGTGGTATTGGCTCTCCGTTCTGAGATCTCCGCGTAATGACATCTCGTATTTTCATCTGCGATGTGTCTCACCGTGAACTTCAGCTTGAACCTCAATTTGTCAATGATATTCGATCAAGCTCCAGGAAGGAATTCCACTTCCAATTCGTACAGTAATCTCCACCACGGGTTATCGATGGTTCATCCATAGTCGAGAATTAATAGTGTCTTTTGGGAACGTTAAAAGTGTCAAGTGCGTTTACGGAATAATCCGGCTTCTCGTCTGCTCGTCGCTGACTGGTAATCGAGATTTTAATCGAGGCATTCGGACCACCGTCGCACTTTCAGCGACGCGAATGAATTTTGACGCAATGCGTCATGCGATCGTCCGTCGTTGATCCGCCAGCGTCAGGCGTGCAGAGCTTAAAAATTGACTAGGGGAGATATATTGCGGCGCTTCATGGACGTTCCGTTAATTAAAACGCAATAGTCAGCCGCGAAAAACCTAATTGAAAATATTCGAGTCGCGTGATGGTGCACGCAGAAAAGGGATTGGCAGAAAGAGTCGTTTGATGTGGCCGTCATAGCTAAGATGCTTTCTTGGAAATAGGGGCAACGCACGTCATTGTTATCGAAGGTCAATTTATTAGCTATTGAAACCTAGACGCTACAGCGAGACTATATTCGCAGAAGCAAATAAAGTTTTAGTACGTATACGCGATTAGATATCTTCTAGAACAGAAGAAAGATTTCTTCGAATTTAATCACATTTTTTTAATTGAAACAAATTTGGTTTTTCTTTGGAACGGAGCAAACAAACGAATGATTCAACAAACAGGATTTTGTGGCTTCTCAAACAAAAATAAATAGCTTTACGTCGAATAATATATTTATTTTGTATTTTTATCCAAATATTACTATTATACGCAACATAACATTGTTATTATATATATTATATTATATGTTATCCAAACATTATTATTATTGCCAAAAATAATAAATTATTTGAATGAAGTAACACTATGTTAGAAAAATATTAAAGAATCTCTTGGGACGTTTTGTAGGACAATATTTAATATATTATGAAATAATATTTTCTTTTATTGAATAGAAATATTATTTCCTCTAAATAATATTGTTTTCTTTTTGTTAAATAATACAATTTACTTTAGTAAAAGAACAAAATGTACGTTATTATCATTATCATCATCATCATCATCATCATCACAATCATTATCATCATTACTATTACTATTATTAGTAATAAATAAATGAGAAAACGAAATTTTCCATTTGAACGAATAATACAAAACATTACATTTACGTGATTACAAAAAAAGGAAAATATAAAGTTGAACAGGAAATATTTCAGAAAAAGAGATTACTTAATTAGTAATCTCCAAATGTATTGGGAAACTTTAACTTCAACTGATACATTTTTACCTCGCAATGAATGTATTTTATATATTCGTAATAACTGTAACTCAATAATGACAATAAAACGATTAGCCGTCTCGCTAAGTTCGCGAATCAGCCTTATCAGCTTTATTCATCGAATCAGCGAATTTAGCTGACAGCACCGAATGATTTTTTCTCACGCACCATCGGGATCTCCAGTATCCCGCGTACGATTTGTTTCAGTGCGCGGACTGGGCGCAATTGGGACTCCGCGGTGGAAACGAACGAATCTCGGGAATTCTCCCCATCGGTGTTTTAATAATACACGTGTATGTCTGCGTGTCCGCGCGTGGACACGTTGCAGGCGCACAGCTAAGCGGCGTGCCGCGAATATTTGTCTTATTTCGTCGATAAAAGGCCGGCCTGTTTATTCCTCGCATTTCGGGCGAGCCGAGCGTGTTCTCGCCTCTCCTCCCTCTTTTGTCGAGTCCATGAGCGGGGCACGACGTCGATACGCGACCCGGGGGTGATCGTATCGTCGATTTATACCGAGATTTTCATGGAAACCGGGACAGACAGGCGGCGATCCCGGTCCTCGAAGCCGTTTTTCGTACGCGTGGTCGATCGAGCGTGAATAAATCCGCGACCGTCGATCGCGCGTGATACGCGAGCGGTTCCATGTCGATTCAATTCAATTCGGTACCGCAAGCCGATTCGGTCGACACGTCGGTGGCAGAAATCGGCTTTAAAGATTACACCCACGTCGATTCGGGGGGAATATCTGAAAAATCGAACGGGCGACACACCCAACCGGCTATAATGCGTGATGAATAATGTCCGCCGCGAGCAACGGAAGTACGCGTTCGTGTTCGGGCATTTTTGCGCTGATAGGGAGTGAACAACGGTGGCGACGGCGGTAGCGACTCGATTGTCTCATTACGAAACCGCTTTTCGAGCGTCGCGGGGAGAAGAGCCGAAGGAGTTCTTCTTCCTCCCGTCGCTCGTCGATTCTCCAAAGTAGAATCGTGGCATGGTAGAGACGAAAAGAGCAGAGAAAGCAAATAGTCTTGCATCAGTCAAGTATTCGGCCGATGCAGGGCGGTAGAGTGAATTGAACAAGGGGGGCCTCGTTCGATGGCGCAACGAAGTGGAGAAACGAACGGGAAAGGAGGCGCTCGTCTGTGGAATTTACCGAAGGTTGAATCCCATTAAACGATTTACACCTCGCGCTTCTCAATGAGAAATAGGAACTCCTGGAAGAACCGAGGAAGAAAAATCGTCCGTGCGAAATTACAACGAAGTCTCCATCGATCGATGCTTTAATCGCAACAACCCGCTCGCCCAGTCGACAGCGAGTACTTCTCTCACCGGCAATATTCGCTCTGCGGCAAATTCCCTTTCGCCGCGAGATCAAGCCGGATTGAACCGTTCGCGCGCAAATGCTCTCCCTCCCCGTGTCAAATGTTCCGCAAGAGAACACGCTCGAGCGCGCCCGAGCAGAGAGAGGATCCACGTACCTGGTGAGACGGTGAGCGCGAGAAAGGCAGCGGCGGTGACGGCGAGGAGTATCCTGAGGGCATTTCCCGAGCCGCCTCGTCTCCTGCCGGGTCTGTGCGCGGCACGACAGCAGGAGTCGTCGTCGCAGCACACCCTCGTGGCACACGGCCGCCGGCGTAGCAGGTCGAAGACGACATAGGCCTCCTCCTCCTCCGGCCGCTGTTGTTGTCGCTGCACCACTTCACCGTCGCCGTCGCTCGCGGAGGGCGACGCGCGACGTCGACGCGGGTCGCCGGCACTGCAGCCGGCACGGTCGATCGCCGGCTCGCGATACATGGCCTGCGGGAGCAGCGACGACGGCCGCCGTGCTACCGGGGTCGGCTGCACTCGTCAACGTATCCTGCGTCCCGCGGCGACTACACCCGTAGCGCCAGTACCTGCGTCTCGGTCCCTCCTGCCTGCGGCACCGTTGCTGCGAGGCATTACCGCGACCACCGGCACCAACGCAGCACCAACCGACCTAACCAACCGACCACTGTCCCTTCGCTTCGTTCTCTCTTTCTCTCTCCGCCTCCTCCTCCCCGTCGCTCTTTCTTCCTCTATGAGCTGCGAAGTCGAGTACCGTACGCGACTAACCACCACCGTCGCTCTCCCTCTCTCTCTCGCAGTGCACGCTCCTCTTCGCCGGGTATCGACGCACGAGGAAGCGCCGTCCCTCGCAGCCTGGGTGTGTTGTAACGACGACGTCCGTTCTCGCGCTCCGTTTTCGGATTCGCGACGCACGCACGCGGCCGAGAAAGAGAGAGAGAGAGAGAGAGAGCGCGCGCGAGAGCCCGCTGCCGTAGGACGACGACCCTGCTCTGGCGCGTGCTGCTCCTTTCACGTGACACACGCACCGGAGTGCCGTCGCGTAGTAGTAGCAGCCGCGACGACGCGAGGGTGAAGGCGGAATCCCGCGTATACGAAGGGAGGAAACCCTCCGAACGGAAGCGCGCACGCTGTATCAGCGATGGCACGCGTCGGAAGGTAAGAGAAGAAGAAGGGTTCTCTTCGTCTCTCCTGCCACCCCCCTGTGTCTTCCTTCTTCTTCCTTTCGCCGCTCTTAACTCGACGACGACGAGGTACGACCACCGCCAACAGCCATCGGCACGTTCTTCCCCCGACCGGTTTACCACAGCTCGTGCGCCTGGACACTACCACCGTCCGGTAGGAAGTGTCGGCCGCCACGAGGTGGACACCTCTGCGAGGCCTTGCCAGCGGCAGCAGCGGCGGCGATGGTGGCGGTGGTGGCGGCGGCGGCGGTAGCAGCAGCACCGGTGGTAGTGGTGGTAGTACAGCGGCGGTAGTAGCAGCGGTGGCAGCTGCAGCTGGTGGTGGTGCACCGGCGCATCGAGCAACCGCGCTTCGCTCGTGCACGGTGGTACCGAATTACGAGCGAGCAAAGCAGATACCCAGTAGCGGTCGTTTCAGCAACAACTACCCGGTATTTAACGTACCCCCTCCTCCGATATACGTTCGCACAGTTCGGGCAAGAAGGAAGGAAGCAACCCCTTTCGCCTGGAAAGATCCCGCTCTCCTTGTTCTCCCTTTCTCCCTCTCTCTCCTCCTCGCGGCACGCGTTGTCGAACCGATCCGCTGCCGTGAACTCTCGCGCGCGCACTGCCGCGGCTCTCTCGCTCCACTGACTGGGGGGTAAAGCGCCTTCGCCGGCTGCCAGGCCAGCAGCACCAGCAGCAGAGGCTCTAGTGGTATCACGCACGACGGCCAGCTTCACGACTGCCCTCAGCTGCCACGGCGCTCGCAAGTGTGTGTCCGCCCGGTGTCGTCGGCGCGACCTCGCGCGCAGGCGGCGTCGGCGTGCGTCGTGGCGGAACGACGCCGTTAGTCGACGGAGCTGCGACGGCCGAGCGGCCGGCTAAGGCGAATCGCTCTCTCTCGTTTTCTCTCCTAACCGTCAGGCGGTGGAGGTGGCGGCAGCAGCGCCGCCGCGACGCTCGCGACGACGTCGCGATGCCATCGGCCTGGGCCGAAATCGATGCCCCGCAACGCGGCGTCTGTAAGCGGCACCCCCGCGACCTGTGCCACCGACCACGGCCACACACGCCTCTAACCCTCCGACAAGGGTATACCGGGTGTCCTATTTTGTCCGGCGACGCTCTTCCACTCCATGTTGTTCTTCTTCCTCTTCTTCCCGCTCCTTCATCCGCCCCTTCATTTTCTTCTCCGGGATCAACGACGACTCGGGGTTTCCCCTCCACGCGTGTAAAATGAAAATTGATTCGGTCGCGCGAAAATCGAAGGAACGGTAAGACGACGGTTCGGCCAATCGCGGATCAGTCCAGCTATTTGATTGACCGTTTCGCTCACTGTCGTCTCATTGTCTTCGTCTTTCGGCGGACGCAAGTCCGGTGACTAAAAGCGCGACACACGACGTGCGCACAAACCCCGCGCGAAAGGGAGACGGCGAAAACGCCAACTGTCGTCGCGTGAATGTAGACGTAAGGCGCACGATTACGTGCAAATTTGGCCGCGCTACGTGTACCAAGTGTTACACAAGCTTGCGACGCGCGTGTGTACACTGCCGGCACACCGTGCGCACTCAGACACGTAAGTAATCGAAGTCGGACGCACGTACAAATACACGGACGAGGACACGCTGGAGGTGTGGGAGGGACGTGCCAGGAAGAGGCGAGGTCCTGCGGAAGGAATTCCCTTCGATCTATCGCTCGGCTCTTAGCTTCCTAAAATATGCATCGGCTCGTGGTTACGAGTATACCGTCTGAAAGAAATATGAAACCCTCTATAAGCGTTTGTCAAATTGAAAAGCCATCCGATGATACATGCAATCCTTTTCACCGAAAGAATTCTCTCGTTTCCTCCAATATATTGAGAATATCGTGAGTATATATTAGGTATCGTGAGAATTCTTATTTCCATATAATAAATGCTATTGAATTTTCAACAACGCGTGTAATTGGAATGAATCTTCTTGATTGAACAGTGACATCATTGAAATTAATATATTTTGATTATTGAAACACAATACAGAACACAGTGGTTTTAATAACATTCGCCATTGAATTAGGAAGATTTCCTCCAATCACGCTGCTGTTGGGAATTTTATTGATTCAACTGCTTTTTTTTCCGTGGAGAATTCTCTTCTCATCGAACGTATGAGAATTCTTGTATCTTATTTTTCTAAATTACGAAATATCGAACACAAGCGCGGAGTCAGCCTGTACACATATATTTTGCTGAGATATATTTCGAGATAAGGGGGCCGGACGGTTTCTCTCTCTCTCTCTCTCTCCCTCTCTCTCCGAAATATATAATGCGCGTGTATATGCGGGTAATAAGGAGTAATATATGCCGGCTGCAATATCGAGTGCGGAGTTTGCGGGAAAGTTTTTCTTTTCATTTTTATCACAGGCGCCGTGAATATGCATATAGGCGCGCCGATAGGATTTTCTGAAACTATAGCAACCCCGCGCGACAGAGGTAACAGAGGCGCCGAGCGAAAAATGCAATACAGCTGCATTTCAACGGTGACGGCGAGTGCACGTGCCGTCATGGCGAATATGGAACGTCTCTGCTCAACCGCGTGTCATTTTTGCGGATTATTCCGTTTAAATCACCCGGACACTCTCAAGCGGGTCGCAGGCGCGCGACTCGCGGCGATGACCCATGTCGCGAGACGAATGTAACGATAATTTACTTCTACTTGACATTCCATCGCGTGATCTTCGTGACACACGCGAATGGCAAACTCAATCGTAAAGTTGTAATTATCAGCATCCGATAACTGCAATGTTTTTTCTATTATTAAGTGCAAACGGCCAATAAGAACCATGCAGATTGGTGGTTACATTAAGAAATAATCTTGGACTTTTATGTCAGCCATTTGTACTTCTTAGTGATCGAATATCTTGAGAACCTTAACACAAGTTCTTAATCCTATTCGATTATTTCAACCTAACTTTACAGTCCACTCGACCTACAAACACCAATAATACGATATTACATTATAGTATATATGTAACAGTAAGTATTCTTCTCCGCATTTTTGGCAAGGCTCTTGTGGCACGCACATAAAAACCGCTGCCCGCAGGGTGCGTCTGAACCAACAAGGATGTTCTCTTTAACCGAAAATTCTGCACTCGGTGAAACGTTGCCAGCACGAGCGCGTCGTGTTTCTTAACTCGTAGCGATTGTGAAAACATCGTCATTCAGAATCGCAAGAACGAATGTCTCACTCAAACTTCGAGCGGATTTTCAATCCATACGCGAATAGATAATAATAATAATAACTTTCTGTACAAGTCTCATGTACACAGCTTTAGTATTTGTGTTAAAATCGATCCTTGTTAGAATTTTTGTTAAATTTTTTATATATCCGTGTGTTGATTTAACATATTGTGTTTATGTTATCTCAAGATATCATGTTGTATCGATATTCCACATTTGTAAGTGTTAAAATACCACATTTCTATTTATATTTCAACGTTAAATTCACTTCAGTTTTATCCGACGATAAAGAAATCAGTGGCAAATTCGAATCGAATTCTCCTCGAGCTGTCGCTCTGCATTTCGAGCGGAATTTCACGCGAAGGAACTCGGAGGGAAGGAAACCGTAGGCGCGGCGCCGCGACGATGCGCGAATTATTAACGATCGGGAGTGCGGCGAGTGCATCTCCCCTTCGCTAATTTCGCTCCTCCGAAATTCGCACAGGATCACCGCGCGCGCTGCCGCGTCCCCCTCCCGCGGCGAGCAGGAGTCAATAGACTCTCCGTTGCGGCAGATGTGCGTATCGATTTCGGGACGTCGATTCGCGCGCGTGCGAGCGCGATATCGCATGCCTCGCTCTTTGAGACGCCGGCGATTCCTCCTCGGATCGCACGTCGCGATCGTCGCCGGCGTCATCGTTGGCCAGCAGGCGCACGCCGCAGCGCGCGAGGCCAGGGGGTTCCGAGGAGCACCTGGAGGCCGCTGGGTGGCCGGCATCACCCTCGCCAGGTGGTTGCAACTTGTTGTTGCGGGACCCCGCGATCTACGTGGGCCTCTTCTTGCTCTCCCTCTTCTCCACTCCCCCTTTCCCGTGTGTTTCCGCCACTCACGGTTGACCTTCGGGAGTGGAGGAGCCGCGGATCAACATTCTCCGTTTTCGAGAATAAACCGGGACGTCGTATTCTTCGTTCCGAGTTTTCGGAATATTGCTTTCGGCGAGGGCACGACATGGAAATGGATGACACTCAAGTGAAAAACAGTCGCGGAGAGCAGCGGGTATTGCATCATGCGTATGCATTACCATTCCCTAATTATTCATAATAATATTTGTTTGATTGAACGTACAACATAAGTGACAAACTTTAATACGCGAATTACAAATATACGTTAGTTGTACTGCCAAAGAGCGCAGCATCAGCTTTACAGCTTATCAATACTTTGCCCCCCTTTTCCTCTAAAGAAGATAGATGAATAAAATAAAGTAAATTAAAATAATAATAATACATTGAAATAATAATCAAGAATTACACGACTTCAAACTTATGCATATAGGTCGCACGTAAGGTCGAAAATCGCATAAATTTGATTATAATGGTAGAGTTATAATGGCTAATTATGATAATTTGGATCTTATGTGTATACATATAAGGCTGAAAATCGTGTAATTTTCTATGCGGGGAATGGTGAGGCACAGATGACGAAGTGTGTATATGGGGAAAAAAGATTGGTTGAATTAACATGACAATGAACGGCAACAGAAACAAAACTTCTGGCTTTTATAACCGAATTTGTTCATAAGAATCAGAAATTTTCTTTAATTCAACCAAAACACCCTTAGTCCGCTCATGTCACGTTAATTGTCACGTTAATTCAACCTTTTTTCTTAATGCGACCTTTTAATTCAAACTTTTTTCTCTGTATAAAGTAGAAAATGCACGCGTTGTCGAGAACTTTCTTTCGAATTCTTTGATCCGATAATCAGCACTTCGCCGACGAGTCGATCGAAACGTGCACTTTTGCTCTCCGACGTTATTCGGTTCCCGTTGCTCTCTTTTGCCTGTATTGATCTAGCAGCAAGAGTAACCGTGGATCAGATCTATCTGAAATCATCGTGTAACGGTGAATAAAGATGAATCGTCACGATTAAATACGGCAAGTCCGATGAAGAACAGCTGTGTCTTCACGCATCACTTACGGTAACCGCTGCCGCCGCCATTCTAAGACGACGCGTTCTCCGGCTACGATGAGGATCGCGTTGTTATTCGCAGTGAAAGAAACACGTGGATCCTCGTGTTGACCGACCTTCCAGAAATAAGGGGTCCTCCGGTAGACTGCCTTATTTTTGTAGCGCGCGTCACAATGCCCCCTTTTCCCCTCCAATCTTCTACTACAGCCGTCGACTTTTCAAATGATGCAAGAATTATCCGCGGGGTGCATCACCTTTCGATCTCTATTTATATTTAGGCCCGAAATATCTGTGCGTATGTGCATTTATTTTATGACCCGTTTATTCTCGTCAATTCCTCGCTGATTAACGTACACGCATTAATTACTAAACGTCGTGTTCTGTCGCGGTCTATGTGTACCCGCATTGTCGGAAGTGGCAAAGAGATTACATAAATTTTCAGTTTTTACCGTAAAAAAAAAATACATACACGCCACGTGTGTCGCAATAAGCATCGGTTTCGCGAAACTGGGGATCATCCGTTAAGATCTGAGAAGCCGAGACATCTCAATAATCTGTATTAACAATATTAATAACACCGACCAACAAATTTCGTATCACAAATTGTATACCTTTTGAATTTTAATTTTTCCTATTTATGTTTGTACGTTGAAACAAAAATGAAAATAAAAGAAGGATTTAGCTATAATTTAAGAAATGTAGGCTATATTTAAATTTTTATAAATTAATAATATGCGGTATAAAAATAAATAACAGAGAACATAGTTTTACTATAATTAATACTATAATATAATATTATATTTTTACTATAATTTCTTATTTTTATATTTCATATTATCAGAAAAAATAAAATTCATTTTAAATGTTGTATATTATTAACGCGTATGTTATATAACAGTTATATTGTTGAGTGGGAAATTATAACATTGATGTTATGTTACTATTAGTTACTGGTGTTTGCTGAGACACCATCTTAAAGTAAACAATTAGCTTTAAAAGAGATGATTTCGGAGACATTCCCTTCTTTCTATATCACGAAAACCTCTAGTATGAAATTCTTTTTTGACTATTGTTTATTATGCGATGAGAATTAGAGGTCGAAATTTAAAGCTCTAATTCTCATCACATAGAAAACAATAGTGAAAACAAAAGAATTTGATATTAGAGGTTTTCGTTAATTACAAATATTATATCATTAACATCACGAAATTAATTAAAATCTGTATAAATCCCGGATACGATTTTAGTGCTGACCGGTGCAATTAGCTAGAATCAACGAAATTTCCTCGGAGCGACTTTATTCCGGAGCAATCGGGAAACCGATCGATCTCTTTTCTCGCGCATCGACAAAGCGATCAGCAAAGCGCGCTCGGCGTGCCGATTCCTGTGGAGATTCCCGTGGAAATTCGTTGAAAAAACGATCCGCGAATCCAGTCGCGAATACGTCACGAGATATCTACGGATGATTTAATTTCCGTCGCGACGAACGCCTCGCTGATGAGTCCGTCCGGTCCATCCGTGATTTCGACAAGTTGAAAGAAAGAGCAAAAGGAGGGAGAACGGGACGTTGGCAAGGACTCGGACTGTCCTCTTAGGGGCGCCCGGGAGAGGAGCGGAGAACCGTGCGTCGAGGGTTACTGATACAGAAGTGGGACACTCGATGAAAGGGGTTAGCCCCCGCGCTATGACAACGGCAAAACTCGAAACGACGTCGTCGGACTTGGCTTCCGGCCATTTCCCGGCTATCGATCCACGAAGCGTTACGACGAAACTGCCCCACGTGCGATTATAGGTGTATCGTGTATATAATGCCGACTCGCTTCACTCGCGCACCACAGCCAGCAGGAAACTCCCCCTGCCTCTTTTATTGTCCTCATCTCGCGAGGACGAACCGCTGAATTCGCATGTCGCGCGTCCGCGACTTCGGCCGCGATTACACACCGGAAGTTATATAGGGTGAGGCAATAACCATCACCAGCCTGAGTATCTTCGAAAAATATAAATATTTTCTTACTTTTTATTACTTTAGGTCGCATCTATTCTTGATTTAAGACTCATTTTTTTCCGTGTACTCTCATATTTTCCGAAGTTATACTCAAGGTAGCGATATCGTCTCATCCTATATAATTCCGATTGTGCTGGCAGACAATATTACATCGCGTTATTCGATCATAGTAATTTTTTATCTGTTACGTAAACATTAATATCGACTGGCTGCACTAGCTTGCACTAGTTCTCTTTCTTCCACCAAGTCTTAACTGTATATTTGTTCTTTAATTCTACAAGTGTATATGAATTCATCGAGAAAGAACAGACTTGTGCTTAGTACTTGATATTCTTTTTTTTTTCGACGATGTCACACTTGGTGGATATCGACGATGACCTGTGTGAGAAGCGAGCTTCGAGGCTCGCCCCGCGAGTAATTTCCGACTCACGTGTCGTAATGACGACAGCGGGCAACGCATCGCGTATCCCCGCGACGTCGACGATGGCTAACGTATTGCGTATCGCGTTAATATATCCGCTGGCCGCATCGAAAAGAAGCGCCGGGCTATTCTTAGCGCGAGATAAATCGGTGTGAACGACTCCAGGTGCATATACCGAGGAAACCCCTCGCGATCGCCCGCAAACCCGTAGCCGGTGAACAGTCAAACGCTATACCGGGCCGGAATCGACCCTAATGCGAGCGCGGCCGAGGCTGGGTTAATAACTTGCCGCTGCAATAATGAAATTGCACATGACACGTGCAATTTGCAGCCGCGTTCTTCCTCGGAGGTTCTCCGTCCATCGACCCAGGAATCGACCCAGAATCACCCCGGCTGCAAACAACGTCGATATGGCGGACACGGCGCGCCTCACCTCGCGGGTCGCTCCTTCCCCGAAACGAAGTTTTCTCAGCCGGTCGCTGAGATATACGCGACTTCGGGGCTGCCGCGCCGACCACGAGGAGACCAAGATTCGCACACCTCGTCGTCGATAACACATGTTTCGGTCAGATGTGCCACCGTAAGAAGGAACTCACGGGCCGCGCGAGTGTCCGCCCTACGAGTGCGACGTACGAGCGTACGTTTCCACGTATGCGTGGAATCGATAACCGGGAATTAGTCTGCCAGGCTGTCTCCCAGAACTAAATGCGAACATGCGGCGGGAGAAAAATTTAGTCGATCGCCCTTGGGAACCGACGCATTCACTCGAGCTCCATTTTATTGCCGCTGCAAATATCGGAGAGAGAGAGAGAGAGAGAACAATTGACTATTATTCGCCGCGCTCACACAGAGCTACCACTATCCCGTGGATATAAAAATTTAATTTTTATTTTTAATCGAGACGCGAGGTCCCTGTAAAATGACGATTTTGCATGGTAACGGTACTGTACGTTATTTCATTTTTGTTTGAAATCCCTTTTCACGTTATCTGTATTGAAGAACTCGGATCCGTAATTACGAGATATTTCTGACGCACCATATATTTTATTTGAATCATTGTTCACACACGATTCAGACATTACTCGGTCAGCTCGAGATCGGGTGAAAATCGAGAAGCCGATATTCGATCCTTAAATTAAACTCGGCTTTAAGAACTACGTACAAAAATACGTGTTTCTTTCGTTCAACTGCTCTGTCGAGTGTCTGAAGCTGATTAACATCGAATCGTTTCGAAGTGGCTCGTCAGACCATCGTGTATTCCGGCACCCTTCCCTCTCCTTCGCTCCTTCTCTCTCTCGTTTGTCCTAATATACCATATGCGCTCGAGGTGTTGCAATGAACACACGCGTAAAGAATACTAACCAAGTGAGTGGAAAGGGAGGAGGGTGCAGCAAAGTAAACGCGGGAGAACAAACGAAAATATACCAGTGCAAGAGGCCGGCTCGAAAGAGAGCAAGAGAGAATGAGAGAGAGAGAGAGAGGGGACAGGGCGAGAGAGGAAGAAAGAGGAGACGGAGAGAATATCACTATAGTCGATACCACGAGGATCAATACATCACGAACACGGTCACAACTATTCGTGCATACACACGAGACTGCACCCGTACGACCATCATCACATTTCTGCCCCTAAGATAACTTCTGCAGGTTGTATCATAATCGTATGCGCCGACGGCAACGAGCTGGCCCGTCTCGCACAAAGCGCATCTAAGTGTGCGATACGTAGGATCGATCTTTGCGAGAGAAAGATTGATAACATTTCACGGGAAACACGTCGGTGCTTGTATGTGTGACACGTTCGCTACCAGCGTCACACACACAAGCGACCGAAAGTAACATTACATCAATGTTATAATTTCTCATTAAAAAATGTAAGTGCAATATAACATGCCTTATATAAAACAGTTACATTGTCGAGCGGGAAATTATAATATTGTTGTAATGTTACTATTGGTTGGTGTTTACCGGGATGTGTGATAGAAACAATATTTTTCTGTATCATTCATTATTCAAAGTTCATTTTAGACAGTTACGTAAAAACTGTAGGAGATGGCTTGTGAGAGGGAAGTCGCCGAAATATATTCTGGTAGGGAATGCGTCAAACTCGCAATGCTCATGTTCAAGACAATTTTGAAGCGAACACGTCGAAGATTGAGGTATCTCTAATGCACGAGGTCTCTGTCCCATTTGTGCAATTCGCCACGCTTAATCCGCGAATTTCTCGCATGTTGCGTGTCATAATCGCATGCATCGACGAACGAGTTGGCTCGTCTCGCGTAGTGTATCGACGTACGCAAATCGATCTCCGTGAAGAGAAGATTGATGATATCTTACGAGAAGTACATTAAGCTCATAATATTCATGTACATATAATACGACGATTTTATATATATTCGAAGCGAATACATCGGAAGTATCTGAAAATCATGGGGTTTCTGTTGCATTTCTGTCATTTATTACGTTCGATCTGAACTTTCACGATACTTGTACATCGTTGTAAATTATGTGGACACTTAATTCGTTAAGGACGTCGGAGCGAAGCGGCGAGGTAGATTCTCAAACGATTCGTTCGTCATTACCGCAAACGGCAAGAGAAACAAATGCTTCTTATTATCTTCTTATTCTACACTTGGTCAGTATAAGATTCCGTAATTATTAATTAATTTGTTAATTAGTCATTATTAATTAACCATTATTAGTTATTTAGTAGTTCCTTCTGAGGATGTTAATTACTGGTTGTGCCCTAGAAATTTAGTATACTATACTGATATGACTTCTGATTTTATTCGCTGTACTATTAAAATTTATGACTAAGCACTGAACCGCGCGAGATGAAAAATGAAAAACGAAAGGAAATGTGTAGTTATGTTTGCATGTGCGGCAAATATAACATTCAGGACGGTATTCATAGTCAGATCTGATATTTAAGATTGTTTTAAATTCATTATCAGATGCTTCCTAGCCAGTGAGTCATACAATATCTAAAGATAAACTTGAGACGATCTTATATAATATAAGATCTGACTGTGAATACCGCCATTAATGACAGTTTCGAGAACGAGTTACATAACAAGTCATATTTCATTACACGAGTCATACTCGAACAATGTTTCTTATCAAGAATCATCATTGTTTATTCCTAGTCTTTGCTATACAGCTAATTAAATCCTCGTCAAAGTCAAGTTGACTCTCTTGAAAGCACTCGAGTTCGTCGTCTAAAAATATTTCAGAGAGAACATCGACATTGGCTCAGTTTTCTTCCTCGGCAAATATAGTCATGACGTATACATACACGTAATTTTACAGGCATAAACGGGAAAATCCTTATCTACACATTCTGTATATAGGTACAATTCTCTCTCTTTCAATTCTTCGCCTTCAGCATTTCGTTTTTATCCAAAATGTCAGTTGCTTCATCTTACGTGTGAACCATCTATTGTCATATCGTGCTTGCTAAAGAGATTTCCTCGTTGAACACCGCGCTGGTCTGCATTTCGCGCACGAGACAATTCAAAAATTCGATTCAATCCCGTTGAAAAATTCTTCAGTTGAAAAATTCTTCCACCTCCGCCAACTCTCTCGCTCGTGCCTGCTGATGAGCCCAACGTGCCTCCGCCAATCTGTCGCTTAGTCCCCATTTGTCGTGATATACGCGTTGTCCGCAACTTGGACATTTCTTACCCCCTTCAACAGATAAATGAAAGAAAATATTTCCCTCGAGATCTTCTACCCAGTATAATTCGACGTTTGAACAGAAGTCTCGTTTACCATGGAACGGCGGAGTCTTCATGTATGTCACGAGACATCGTAAGTGGAATAGATGACCACAGTAGAGCCGTTCTGCGTGAAGGTCCGCATTTTCGTCGAATACAACCTCCTCCGGATTGACCGGCAAGCAGTTTACTTTGCATAGCTGGCAATTCTCTTGCGGAAGAGCTTTTACGGTTCTGCAAAAAACATGAGACATTACGAAATCAAAGAGCCGTATCAGCTAACCATGCTTATGTAACGAGATCTAACGGAATGAATGAAAAAAAAAAAAAACAAAATCGCGGGGAATGCAGTAGAACAAATTTCTTGGGATAACTCGAGCTTATCTACGAATAGTGAAACCTAACACGATGTAGAACGATTATGGGTCGTAATGCTGACGAAGAAATTGTGTTCAAAAGTTTCTCGGGATTTCTAAATTTGTTATCTGTGTTATCACTTGGTGTTTCAACAGCCAAATTGATTTCAGCTTTTTGCTCGCAAAAAGAGAGATCCAACTTCGACTGTTTGCTGTGATATTTTCCCACAGCACCAATTTATTTGCGATGAAGGATGATAGAAGAGAGTAGATTCATTAAAATTACTGGTAAACAAAAATCAGTCGAAATATAAATTCGCAGAGTTGATGTGTGAAAAGATTGTGAAGAGATAGGAAGTCAGAGTGAATCCAATATTGACAGCTAGTATGTTAACCTATGCCAAATATTGTTATCTTGCATGTATAGCCAGAAAGATATACTTTAATATTGGTATCAAAATATATTAATCGGCATTATTGCATTGTTAATTTCTAGTTGGCAATATTCGTGAATAAAGATAATGCAATCACTTCATGTGAGACACGACCGTATCTGTTGATAATTACTTGATGAGAAAGGAAGCGATGGTGTTCAAAGACGGGGATGGTATAAAGGGTGTTGTCGGTGCTTGTTTCTTCAGCGGTGGCTCAACGCACTGCCTTCCTAATTCCCTTCCTTGTCCTACTAAATAGCGAGTAAGCAACGGTGAGAAGTTTGTATCAGGATCTGTCAGGCTGCATGACGATATAAATTAGTAACATAGAATCTCGTCTCATTGATCTTACATAGAAAGATTAGTATATACCTGACGTTACTGATGGGATAATTATCCGGCACTACAAGCTTGGTTTTAAAATAGTATAAGCCTTGATTCACTATCAGATTAATCGTGGAGTTCTTCTGCTTTAGTTTCAACTCGTCTCGATCTGTCAGGAGTTTCTTCAATATCGAGATCTCCTCGTAGCAGCAAATGAGAGGATTCTCCTCGATGTAGTTACGAATGAACTTTAAAGTCGGCAATATCTATGAACATAAAAACTTATCGTGTCAAAAGATCTCTCTCATACACAATGAATGTTTGAATGCGGATACCTGTGCTTTGTTCAAGAGACCCTTGCACTCCTTCTCGCAGACCTTAGTTAGGCCATCCAGCAACTTTGTAGATAATGTCTTACTCTTCAATTCTACTAACAGTGGCGATGAGGGATAATCCTGCGGGAACTGGATGCAGACAACGAGTTTCTTGAACGTTGTTTTCCTACAAAGTACAGAACATTTTGGAATAATGGCAGAAAGTACTTTCAATTTGAAGCACATAAAGGTATATATATATATATATATATATTTATATATACACACACACATATACAACACAAAGAAAGAGAAAAAAAGAGAGGGGAAAAGTAAACCAGTATGAGGGAAAAGAGGAAGAGAAGGAGAGAGGAAAAAAGAAAGAGAGAGAGTCTCCTTACGTTATTTCGACTCGGACCATACTCTGCACGCAAGAGACGAGCCGGCTTCCATCGACGACATTTTGACAGAGTCGTGATACTTCTTGTAACTCATCGTCGATAAATCCCATGGACGAGTAAGAATGTGCTAAGAACACCACCCGACGCCTTGAAGCTGATCGGCTTCGGTGCTAAATGTAAACAATCGTGACGAAAACACGATGAAACATCACTTCCCGGGGGTCTAACGTGAACTAATCGTACCGTTATGTCATATGACGTCACGTCACGTGCCAGCGTCTAACGTCATTAGAATGGATTTGAAAATGCCCCTTGCACTTGAGAGTTCTCGGTATTCGATTTGAAATGCGAACGCAGAACGGTTGAACGAGACTGCTGATAACGTGGTATCTTGTAAACGATTAAACTGATTACATAAGAAGCTCATGTATCGCGCGTCTTTTACGCGTCACACGGTAATTACGTGTGAATCATCGCAAAGGACGATATCGATGTTCTAAAATGGAAGTGCAGATTCCGCGCATGCGCGAAATGTAGACGTATGTTCAATTCTGCGAGCTACATATTTTATATAAATAATAAATAATTGAAAGCGCAATTACATGTTCTGGTGAGGCTTGGAAGTTGTATGTTGTTCGATTATCGGCTGTTGATTCGCTAATATAAAATTATACATTGCTGTTGCGACGAAGTAATTCCTCAGGTTTCGTTACTTTCACTTCGTATTTCCCACGTTTCTGTCGGAGAAGGAGAGCGCCTGCGACTGGTGAGCGCATTATTGCACGCACATGCGCCGAACGCGTCATACATGCATAGTCGAGAGGAGCTCTCCGACCTAACCTAATCATACGTTCTCTATTCAAGCTTGAGCACATGTCGATCGATACATCCAGAGAAGAGTGAGCGAGAGAGCGATTCGCCTTGTTTCTTATATACACATGTATATATAAATCTACTTTCGTCGGTCTACATGCAGTGAAATACACACAAGTATGTATTTGAATAGAATATTAATAATAAATATAAATATAATAAATTTCAGGCAAAATTTAACGTGAAACGAAAGATTACGAACGAATCGAGAGCACGAAACAAAACACGATATGTAGTCTGTTCTTTATAACTGCTCGCTTGCACTTGTTCTATCTTTTTCTTCCTTACATTAGGCTACAAGGTCTGTACGTTTTCGCTGCACCGCTGAACTAGTGCGATAAGTTGAAGCGAGATAAGTATATGTTTTCATCACTTCAACTTATTGCACTAGTTCAACGGTGCAGCGAAAACGAACAGACCTACAGCTTTGTATCTGTCTCTTTTTAAGTTCGGGGACAAAGAACAGACCTATGATGTGTGCGTGCGTATATAAGAACAACCGTAACAAGTACTGTGAAACTTCAGGATGCAACGAGCAAGTGACAGGAGACTCGAGGTCCTTCTGACAAGCGAGGACTCGGGGGAAGGTTGCAACGCTGCGCTATGGGATCCCTCGAATGGTTCTCGATTGTCCATCTTCAAGAACGGAGGGACTCTGAGTCGCCGCACGCTTCAGCTCCTCAACGACTGCTACCTCCTAGGTGCCGACCACACCAAGAACCGTATACACGTGTGGCCATTGAACAACCCGTCGCCCTTGAACAACATCAGACTGACCGCTCCAGGTAGAGTGAGCGCCCTGACTTGCACGCCGAACGGCACCTATATGATCGCCGCTGTGGCAGACACGCTATACATCTGGCAAGTTTGCAACGGTCGCTTAGTGGGCACCCTGAACAGGCACCTGCAGACCATCAAGTGCTTATCCGTCACGAAGGACGGCTCACTTTTCGCCAGCGCCGGCGAGGACGGCCTGGTGTTCGTGTGGTCGCTCTACAGCGCGCTCAACGACAAACGTTGCTCCCCCGTCCACAAGTTCTCCGACCACACTCAGCCAGTCGGTGATGTATACTTCGGACATGGCGGTACTCGCGGAAGATTATACACGGCCTCCTTAGACCGGACGGTCAACGTCTACGAGATGGGCAGCGGCGTCCGCTTGGTCTCCATAGTGTTCCCCGTGCCGCTCACGGTCATCGCCGTGAACATTACCGATAGCGAGCTCTTCGTGGGCTGCGTTACCGGTGACATATTACAGTGCAACCTGCACGAACCACCACGTGGCATCGAGCAACATGTGAGAGCGAGCGACGACGACGCCGGGAGGAACGCCGTGTATCGAGCCCACAAGTCTGAGATCACTGCTCTCTCGGTATCGGTGGACTGTCGCACGCTGGTGTCGGGCTCTACCGATAAAGCAGTTCACATATGGGACATTGTCAGTCGGCTCGTACTCAGGACGATCGAGCACAAGGGATCAGTTACCGCCGCATTCCTCGCACCGGCATTTGAGAATTTCTTCGCCACCACGCTGAAGCCGAGTTTGGAATTGCGGAACCTGCAGCAGACCGCCTCGGACGACAGTAGCAGGTGCGTCATCGAGGTTATCAACAGAAGTTGGAACCCCAAGGAGTTCCTGGACTTCAAGTCTTTCATGGATGAGGAGCCGGGTGAACCCGGCATATCTGAGGATACGGACGCGAAGCAGAATATGGCCGCGGAGTATGAGAAGCTGAAGCAGATTAATAAGAATCTATTTCAGTACGCCGTCGCGAATACTTTGCGAAAGGCAAACGGCAGGCAGGCGGGGGATTGAAGGGTGGACTCATCCGTTCTCTTTGAGATCAAGACTGACGCGATGATTATGTATTATACAGGATGATTCACAGAGAAAAAAGTAAAATTAAATCTATCGAAAATTCCATTGTCGTCGCAGTAAAGTCACACGCCTTGATAAGAAGCGACTTTTGAGAAATCAAGACAGGACAGAATGGGAAGTCACTTATTTGTAACTTAGTTCAAATTTTATAATTTTTGTAACTATATAAGTACTAAAAATAGGAGCCGTATCCATATATATTTTTTACTCAAAACAACTTCCCAAATAATTTGACAGTTTTTCTTTCCTGAGTCACACCTTGTGTATAATGTGCAGTACCTAATTGAAAAAAGGAAACTGTTCGACCATTCTGAGACACCCTGTATATATCTTGTACAGAAATATTTATATCCAATAGAAATAATGAATAATTTTTCTGCGCAAATATGTTCTCCGAGGATTTTTTAATTTACGATAAAAAGAACTGAGAAATTTTTTATGTGAGAATATTTATATCTGCGAGCCATTTTTATATGCTTTTCCATAAAAAGTGTAAAATAATATTACAGAAATTTTTATAACAGACATAGATGCACTTTGCCGTTTTGTTGCCACTCTTTCATTTATTTATTTCTACTTTGAGATATTCAAATATTTACACAAGTCAAAACATTATTTGATATTTGCGGCTACTTCCGAAAGAGTCCACTTTTCGATTCTTATAAAATTTAATGAAATTTTCTCAGTTAAATGTAAATAAATATATTTAAAGTTTCCTTGGCATAAAGAAGATTAATTGAGATAACGTTAAAATAATGAGTAACAATTATCATGCCACATAGATATAGAATAATCTTATCCTTGAGATATACAGAGAAATATTCTGAATAATATATATGTATAATTAAATAGGAGTCGCTTCTAATACTTAAATTGTCATTTGGTGTCGTGAATAATGTACATTTCGAACCAATACGTTAAGCATAACAAATATTTTTGTAAATATAACAAAATACATTGTAAAGGATATATTTCATAGAAATTTATAAGATAGCTGGGTCTAGGAAACGATGCGACATCTGCATGCATGTAAAAAAAGGCATTACGATATTGCGAAATTTCTACATGGAACGTCATACCCAGTATTATAATGAAATGGACGGTTTCTTTTGATTCATTGTAATTACTGTTACCAATAACAATCTTTCCCACTGAAACGTCATTTATGCCGATGAGAGTGAATAAATTACAATAGCCAATCAATTTATAATGATATAAGATACTTTTACATTAATACACTAATTAAATATCACTTTTGATATGAAATAATACATTTACCAAGATATTTTTGCAAATTAACTGATATTTGATCGATAACTCGTACAGCCGTCGCGTAGAATCAAATAAAACAAAATATTCAGAAAAATAACCTTTTTTTTTCAGTGCACGTAACATCTCTGAGGTATGCAATTTGCATGCTGTGTTGCGTATTATGTTTCTTTATATTACAATGCTGTAACAATACATGTACCTGTGTTCACTGGCTACTGAGTAATTTATATTCCAATTACGTAATCTTTCACACACACACACACACACACACACACACATACAGCGACCTACACAGTTGTTAAATAAACTTTTAATAATTTGATAGTTATGATATTTTATTGATCTCACATTTATATTTACATTATATAACTGCTATGTTGTCAAGTAAAAAATATTTACGACTAACATGTGCATTACTGACAACTTACAAATTTATATCACATATTATATTTCGTTATATTTCGACAATGTGACAATTGTTTATCTGTATTTGCCGGATAATCATTATATTATTTGTGAAAAAGCAGCACATATTGGTAAAAATATTGGGGAATTATTCCGAGCAAAAGTGGAGATTGTTAATGTATCGAAAATATGTATTTCGACAAAAATGATTCTATTTTAGCTGATTTCCTATTTCAGGTATGTAATTTGAAATACTTTGCCAAACCATAAAAGAAGCTTCGCTGGAACTAACCGAATTTAGTGCAGTAACATAATCTTTCTGTCATGTGTCAAATCAAACGTGCTATATTCATACGTCTATTTATTCCAACAAGTTGAAGGACAATAACGAAAACGTAAATCCCTAAAAACGACCAAGTATCGCTTTGTCGCATTCTATACTTTATGTCGCCAGTCCAACAGTTTATTCGCGATAATTAAGACGAACACATATCTCGCGTCAAATCAACTCTCAGTTTTTTTAACAAAGAATAACAAATGCTGTTTTTATCAGGACTATTATTATTTTTTCTCCAATAAAATATTAGACCATTAACTTTTTCAAAAATGTGGAAGATGAAACGTGAAAAGTCACCTGGTAAGATCGATATCCTGCAAATATAATAACGTGTTAATCAAAAATATGTTAGTCATTGATACTTGACTGCCAATGACGAAAATTCTTGTCATTCTGGACTTTGCGTTCATTGTTGCGAAAACGCATTTTCTCGCCATGAAATATAAGAATTTTCATTAATTTTCGAGAACCTTTTGTTTTTGGCATTTTAAGAATAGTCGAGGAAAATGGTAGTGAAGAAGTTAATATACGGCATTATCTGTCCACGTCTAGATAGAATTTTACTTTCACGATCAATTGACTGCGGGTGGGAAAATCATTCGTCCCCCATCCTATAGGCTGCAGGTTAATATTGCGAGATACATCACGTTCTCGCGTGTACCGTTATCTGCGGAGGATACCGCTAATTATACAGCTGCGCGCTAATTGCTAGACCGGAAAATAATTTCTGCGGCGGATGATGCTGCGGCGTCGAATCGGGAAGCGACGTGCTATTCTTCAGCACGTCCCCTAAAATACGATATTATAAATAACACCCTCTCTATATCGAGGCAGAACGTACGGTATAATGAACGTACGGGGAAGCAAATTCCATATTTCAGCGCTGAATCTCACGGAGAAGGCGACCCTTTTTCCCGGCGAGCGAAGAAGTCGCGCGGAGTTCAGCTGCCTGTGTCGGCGATCTTCTTTCGCTTTTCTGCACAATGGAGCGATCTTACAAAATACTCGGACATTAGGTAAACATTTTTTTTAATTATGAAAAATATTAGAAATCATAATAATAGATTCAAGTCAAATGAAACTGGCATTATAATTTATTTTCCGTTCGATTAACACTAAAACCGCGGCAATGTTTTCCCTTCTAGAACCACAGATGGGTCACTTTTGACCCATTTCTTTTTTTGTAATTATCTATCGACTTTTTTGAAGCTATTGTTTGTTTTATGATAAAAAAGGCTTTCCAGTGGTGAAAATCAAGAGAAATGGAAAGAGAAACAATCTACAAATGGGTGAAAAATGATTCAGCCGTGGTTCTAGTGTTAAAGTAACGAAAAATAATTATGAATTTAAATATGTATCAAAAATTAGAAAGCACTATATTCCACCATGTATATATCCTTTTTTCTTGGTCGTAATATTCGAAAATATTTGAAAAAAATGACGAAAGATACAAGTATTTGTAACTCTATTATACGAAAAATACCTTTTTATAAAATTGATGATCTATTCTAAAAGCTTGTATTTGTAATGATACAAAAAAATTTGTTAGAGTCATGTAGAAAGAAATTGTTAATAAATTCATTAGTATTCGAAGAATTTCGCATGTTTACGAAAACATGGATACGAGGAAAACGTTGTTTAAAGTTTCAGGCATGAAATTTTTGAACAATCACTTTAATAATTCTTTTCATAATATTTTTTTAAATATTTCTTTGTACTTATATATAAGAAATGTACTATGTTGTAGATTGATACTTTGCGATGTTTCTCCACAAAATATTCATGAATATAATTTTTTTCGAGCGTCTATAAAAATATTCGCGTCTATAAAATAAAATTAACAATGAAAGAACCAGACGAAAATTCGGATGTAGGAACAAAAAAATTTTCGTATAAGATTTCTAGTCAATCAATTGTTCTCAATTGTCTCAAGTTTTAATGCGGCTGAATATTCATACGAATTTTCAGTCGCGCAACAGGGATATCACTTCTTGTCGCTGAGTTTCCGTTTTTTGTTACCGAATTTCCATCTGGTCCCTATTTTGTTGCAGTAAATTAATTATTTCCCCCGTAACTAATGGTATTGCTTGTGTAAAGCTTCGTTGTTATTTGATTACAACTTGATTGAACGCTACGTCCGGCTTTTGGACGGAATCATTTCACTGTGCGTTTGCCTCGCCGTCGAGTAGCACTCTTCTTCTTTTGCGAGAGCATTACCGCTGCAGGCGATCCTGCTTCTATGTATGCATCATCGGAAATCAAGAGAAGGGCAATTTCTTCCGGCCACCTTCATCGTCTCGAAATGAATTCGCTGAACACGTGTCGCATCGTGCAATTAATTAAACGGCAGGCCAGCGCTAAACGTTAGATACAGTCTTTATCAGCGCTCCTTTGTATTTAAATGAACCGGTGCGCGCATACAAATGAAACGTTCACAAGTCGTATACCGTGCCCGTCGTGGGTAAATTAATCGCGACGTAACGTTCTCGTGCGTCCCATATTGTCCCTTGAACGTCACGCTGATTAGTCGATGAGCCATGGCTCTCGATTCTAATTTTCACCTATCTACCTACTAGCTAACCTACTTACCTAATCTTCGTGTACCCTGGCCCCCCATGATGCAAGTTTGTTTCTCTCTTTCTCAGCAGTATCGATCGTCGCACTTTTATTCATTTTATCACGCATTCAGACAAGAACCCAGCGAAAATCCGCAATAACTCGTGAAATCGTGTCGGTTATTCCGTTTCGCATTCTTTGGCCGCAAATGAATCGATCACCCCCCCCCCCCTCCTTCCGCCCCAAAAAAAGCGACCATCAAACGTAAAAATGTCGTTTTATATTAAAACTTTTCACGTTTGTGAAAAATGTCGTTCTATATCAATAACTTTTCCACAGTGCTTTTTCGTCACGCGTGATGCGATTCGCGCATTGCACGAAAAGTGAATATCGCCATCTATTACTGCGGCACGTGTCAACCCCTTGCCCCCCCGCCGTGCCCCCAGCCTCGTTCCAGCTGAAAAAGAGGAACGCGCGTGTTAAAATAGAATCGCGCTGTGAAGCTATAAATTCCTGATCTACGATATCGAGAGCACCGGCTTATCTTTATCGGTACGTTTTTCTGCGGGGAGGGAGGTTTCGGAGATACGGCCGATCGATCGGCGTGTCGTCGAGCCGGGCGTGCCGGAACACCGCGAAAAAGTATCGCGATCGCGCGTTATGGAGATTAAGGCGGCATCCAGTATCCGGGAAAATGTGCCGGGACGAATACATCATGGGCGCGACGGTAATGCGTCATAATCTGTCGCGCGATAATCACATCACGCGTATATAAATCTATATATTATCCCCGCATCAACGTAATACGGCCTCGTTTTACACCTACGTTACAGCGCGACCGAATTACCGTAATACGCGCGGTAACAGATCGCTCTGCGCGGCTGGTACCCTCCAAAATGCGCCTGAGGATCAATATCTTTCTCGCCGGTAAATGAGGCCCGCGCTTGTTCTGAAGGACGCGCGCTACGTCAAAAACCACCACGCTGTTTGCGCGCGAAGTAATAATATATACGCCTGTGTTGTGGTAACTCGCGTGAAAACTACGAGCGACATCCACGCGCCACGGATACGGTGCATAGGAGAAGTCTTTGAAAGACTGGAAGTTCTATTGTATCGAGGAAAAAAAAAATGCGGGGAAAAGTAGGTGTCGTTATTAATTGCGGTGAAAAGCAGCTCGCCTCCAGGCGATGGAACGTCGTTCGCACGCGGTGAAATGTACTTTTCGATCTAACTTGACGACAATTTATTGAATGAGGTCGATCGTGATAATTGTTGTGTTTTACTAAATATTAGAATATTTATTAAACAACGTATATGCTGTGGTATTCCTTGATAATGTTAAAGATGATTTAATTCACAAAAAATTGCTAAACAATTATAATCTATAATTCTAATCTATAATCTAAATAATCTATAATTATAACTTATTTTGCGCTATCTTCATAATCAAAGATAAGGTTGGATTGTTTATATTAACCCGTTTCAAGCCGGCAAAAATATTGAGATCCATGAAATCCAAGTATTATTTTAGGGTTTTAGGGAGCCAAGTAACTCAAAAAATGTTAAATCATTATTTTTCGATCAATCGTTCCCCGAAAAATAGTCGGAACATCTACTTTGAGCGATGGTGTACCTGGCGTGCCTGATGAATTGTATCATAACGGGAATCATTATTTTCGACGATCTTCAGATGAACTTTGGGCCACAATATTTCACCATTGATTTTTCAACTTTTTATTTGTTAGTTATTTTTAATTAATTAATTAAAAATGAATGAGACAATGAATTAAAAAGATGTGTTTTGCAAGGTTACTTTTCACCCCCCCCTCACCCACCTATCGCTAGGGAGTAATGGGTGGTAGCCGGATGAAATTATTTTCTGAAAGACAAAAGTCCAAACTATATTTTAGTAATAAAATCTAGGTCAGAATTTACCTTTATCACAGTTAAACATTTTTTGAAGATAAGAGAATTTCCTATAGGAATTCTTATAGGAAGATAAGTGAATTTCTATAGAAAGATAAGATATTCCTATAAGAAGATAAGTGAATTTCTATAGGAATAGAGGAACGAAGTGGATTAACGTCGAAAATTATATATTGACGAAAAGTCACACGCAAATTGCATCTCTCGAAACTGATACAAATTTGAACCAGACATTATTAGAAAATTCTTCCGAAATATACCTTCACACATCCGCAGCATCCCGTTCGGAACGATAATAGAGCCGACGTGAAATAATAGAGCCGACGAGAGACAACGTTAGTTTTTCTCCTGGAGAAGATCTAATCGCGTGTCATGTAGATCGCGGAAAAACACGAGGGTTTCGCGAGGAGTAGGGGCGAGAAGCAAGTCTGCGACGAGGGGGTTGAACCGTGGGGTGGCAACCCCGTGATCGGTGTGGAGGCGCTAGGTATAAAATCGGACGCCGGGTGACTGGAGGTATTCAGTGTCGGTGCGATTCTAAGCTCCGCAGCATCCCTACTTAGAATCTCCAGCACCAGCGGTCATAGAAATGCAGGACAACTTAATTTTCGTTTTCGTGGTCCTTCTGGTATTTTCTACCTCTTTCAATCGTAAGTCAATACATCGCGTCAGCTGCCCCGTTCACTTTAGGGCATCCTTTTTTTTAGTATCTTTGGTCACTAACAACCACTTTTCTCACCTCACAATTTCTACTTTAAATAACCACGCATTTGCATTTTTCATATCGAGTCTTTATCTGGACCACGCTCGTTGTAAGCACACTGTGAAGACATTCTGAAAATGAAATAGCGGTGAAAATATCACAATACCTTCGAGAAAAACGTGCGATTAAAAATTCAAAAAAATTTTGACGGAAAAAATATTGTAATGTTTGTAGGATGGCAATAATAGCTGGTCCAAATATCTCTCAGTGCGAAATTATTCTTAGAAACATGATCGATATCGCGAAAGTTATATGTGAAAGGAATGACAACACGAAGCATAATCTAATCTAATATTCAAAGTTGCGCTTTTGACCGCTCCGTATAATGCTTTAGTTAATTCATTCTTGCCGAGACTAAACTGGAACTCGGACGTGGCAATTCCCGGCGCGAAGTAAAAATGAAATAGGACGGGGGATTAAGTGTAAAAAAGGACCGTGGCGACGCGAGGGAAAACAGTATTATGCGAGATTCCCGCAGGAAATCGCCGAGCGTCGCGAATATGAGTGTAAATTAAATCGTTAGGGATTATGATGCCGGGGACCTCTGATAGAAATACGTCGACGACGTCCTATTTATTTTTCAGTTGCCAGATGCTCGGTCGGCCAGCACTTCGAATCTGCCAGAGGCAAGAGACTCGCATGACTGTCGCATAGTGTCCTTCGTTACGTTTGTGTGACATTTCCTAATATCATACACGTCCTAACCTCATTCCCCCCTGTCTGTCTTCATCTAATTTTAATATCATATCATGCAGACAGAGCGCAAATATCAAAAAATCACCGTGAAAAGCGTCCTAATTCTTCACATCGCTAAATGTTTTTCGAGATATCCCTCGAATTTTTGTGACGCTCGATATGTGTCGATTACCATTTGATTTTTTTAATAAGTTGACGGCTCAACAGTTTTACATTTTTATTCTGGACAAATCAATACGATCGTCATTTTAATAACGTTGAATGGTTCGCCATGCAGCGCGTATGCGTCAGAAAATATTATAATTCGCGCACCGCCGCGGCATTTTCCGAATTTCAAAAATTTTTATTTCATATTTATACTATACATCTCTCTTTTTGCGCTCTTTTATGTTGTGCTTACGTATAACAGATCATAAATGACGTGGATTTTTTAACGCTGCAATTTTCGAATGCAATGATCGCCCAGGCATGTGTGTCCGTGTGTACGTATGTGCGTGCGTGTGCGTGCGGGCGTGTGTGTATGTGTGCGCGTGTGTGACTACAATAACGCAATATTTTGTTCGTTCTCTCCTCGATAATTTCGTTTTTAATTTGCGAATGAATGTAACCGTACTCGGAAAGTATCGATAATTAAGAGGCAAATTTGCAAAAAGCTTTTATAATATCGATATTTAACGGTCGCTAATTTTCTCCTCTCGTTTTTCCTCTTTTCTCTCCTTTTCCCTCTCTCTCTCTCTCTCTCTTTCTCTTTCCTCCTTTTTCGCTTTTCCTTTTCGATATAATTATCAAACATTCATTGTGCGATTCGGTCGGTCAGCCTGAAATTCCCTATTGTTACTACTTACACCTCCACCATCACATAATCGTGAAGCCGCTATTATACTTCCGAGTGAGTTGCGAACTAAACAGAAGTTACGGTAGATGTATGCGTTAGACAAGCGCTCAGACAGCTGATAGTTAAACTGCACAGCAATGATAGAAAGGAGTTACGGTGTGGCGTGTTGCAAACTATCGCGCAAACGTAGTTGGACATAATTTTGTGCGCGTGATGCATGCTCTAATTGACCGTCTCGCTCGACGTTGCAGGAGGTCAAAAAATAAAAGCGGCCGACAGGCGGTTCGCAGGGGTGTTTGCGCAACCCAGGATCGGCCGAAATTCGGAACTGCTGAGCCTACCCAGGTCGGACCGAGCGCAGGGAATGTTGCATTATCCTCGGGTCGGACGATCCGACGTGTCGAGCTTCGGTAACCTGAATCAATTTCAAGACCTGCCACCTGAGACCGACGTCGAGTTCTCTGGTGTGCGCGATGTGGAACCTGACGCTCTTCTAGATCTTGATTACGAAGGTGGAGCACAATGAGAATAGAGTCCTAGATATAACTAGAGAAGCATTATTGAAAAGATCAGTTCGATTGGCTATCTGAATCGCGAGATGGGTGCCATTTTGATTTTTATTTAGGGTAAGAGAATATGATGTATCGTTAAATCGTGATATTTTTGTTATATATAATTTTAGTATATCATGGCTAAATAAAATCCTTTTTCGATGTGCCAAGTTATGACGAGAACCTATAAATCATGGAAATAGTATTCTGGCTTAGAAATTATAAATGGTGTTAAAGAATATAAATGGTTATAAAGAATATTTTGGCTTAAATTATAATGGTTAACCTCTTGACAGTTAATCTCTTTCTTCTTTACTCATCGCTTGCTCCCAGTAATATAGCTGCTGGGAGCCCACTTGCTCCAAGTTTGCAAATAAAATGGCAACTTTCTATATATTAAATCCGATGACGCTTCTCTATATATACGTAGGCTCTAGAGCCCGTTAATTAATAATCGTTGCTTGAAATTTATCTCAAGATGCGAGATACTCAGATTTGAATTTAGAATTAGATTTGAGTTTTTCAGCTCGATTCTATAATGTACGTGACGTTGTATTTGTAATCGCGATTCAACTGTAAAATTCAGACCTAACTTTGTATTCAATATCTCACTTGAAACGAGTTTCAAATTAACAACTATTAATAAAAGCCTAAATAAGAATAATTTATTTAAGTCAGTCACAAAAAGTTCGGTTCGGTAGTCGAATATATATGATTTAATTACATTCAACGGACAAAAAGTTACACTGCCGAATAACTTTATCCTCCGGCTAAGATTTAATTATCGCACCTGACTATACGACTTTTCTTTTATTAGCTTATCATTCTTACTGATTATTTACCATTAGAGCCTTCAATGCACTTGTTTGTTTCGAGAAAAACAAAATGTATTTATCGGCCAAGTTGTCGTTTATTCTTTGCCTTCGGCAGCATTCGTATTTTTCACTTTTGCCATAGCAGGTGGTTGGTTTATCGTCGAGAAAGGTAGAAAATCTAACCGAACTTTTTCATCGACTCAATATTGATAAATATGCTTCACCTCGAATTGCACGTGGATATTTTTGCGAATGACGATAGAGAACATCGCGGTGAACTTTATTGAAGAGTCGAAAGCGCGACAATATGTATTCTCGCGAATTGCCGTGAAAAATTCCAACGTATAAACATGTCCCAGAAGAAAAGTTCGCGAGTTGTCATGGATACTACAATACAGCACGAGCGCATAACACGTCAGATGTGTTATTAATTAAAGCGACTTTTATCGGATTGAATAAACTTGTGGACAAATACGAAAGCGAACGTATAAACGAAACAGCATATTATTCCGTTATCACCGTACTCCTGCAGTATTTTTTAACGAGACAATTTAGATAACCCGTTACAGTTTTCTAGGAGATTGCGTATTTAAAACAAGACGCACGTCACGGGACATGTACGTAACACGCTGTATTCAGTAAAAAGATTTCGTGTTAAATTTCACACGTTTCATACGTCCCAAACGGTCCACCGAAATTTTTATTAATTTTACACAAGGTAAATATGTTGACAAAAATTTATGCAAAATTAATATCGTAAACTAAAATGATCTTAGCCCATCGAGGAGACGTTAACTCATTTATGGAAAAAAAATCTACATTTTCTTATATTATTTGTTTATATGAAATTTATATGAAATATATAACTTTTTTCCGTAAATTGGTTCAAATCATTAACGGACTAAAGTCATTTCAGTTTACAGTACCCATAATATGTTAATCGACATTGAAATATGAAATGTGTTAAAATAAGTGTGTTATTTATTTTAATACTTACATTTGTTAAACATCGACTCGGCACAAAACATTGAGATAACGCGAACACGAGATGTTTTAAATTAAAACACGGATATGTTGAAAATTTAACAAAAAAATGTTTGCTCGGAGGATTGATTCTAACGCAAGTACAACACAAGTTTTTTTACCGTGTACATTTTCACCGGCTACGATTACTTACCCGTCAACTGTATCCTTTTGTACAGAATACGCGAACAAGCTGATGGCGATGAAGCGCGCCGACAAAGCACCGAAGAACGGTATCTGGCTGATGGCTAACCACGTGCACGGATACAAGGAACCTCGTTCGGCGCCAAAGATCGACGATCTCCGACTGTACTATTCTGTTCTGCGAGGTACAGAGGAATATATCTAATTCCCTCATCTCTCCCTTCCACGAATGCGTGTTACACGTGCATCAGACGGATTGCATATGAAGATTTATGAGAACGCTGTATTCTCGTCACGTGACAATTTTGCCGACAGCGGTCGGTTTTCAAAGCGCTCGTTTCAACGATACTCGGTAATCGAGTAAAGTGTCGTCGCGTAAAAGGTCCGCCGATGAGCGATCGCGATAAATGGACAGCGACAGACTTTGAATGTTACAGAGAAGTGTCCGGCGCGCGCATCGATCGCATTATTTTCGCTAAATTAAATATTCCCCGGGAATGCGCGTCGCGCGGGGTGTATCCAACGGAAGTATCGACTGTCACACACACATACACATATACACACGTCACACTCGTTCTTTGATATTACACCAGTCGCGTTTTCCACCCGCGAAGAAACGAATGAGTCGCGTTCTCGTTCGCGTCACAGCTTCATTAATCATTCAATACGAACGGTTTAAGACGCAGCACGTGTGACTGCCTCTATGTGACTGACCCTTGATCTCTTTCCAGATTCTCGAAATACTCAAGGTCAAGGAGGTTACACCCCGAGGCTGGGTCGTGAGAATGAGCGCGACGCGACGAGCTTCCTGTAGGTCGTCCTCTTTGATCGCGTGTCACTTTGATCACGTATTCGATGGATGTCCCCATGGGAGAGAGAGAGAGAGAGAGACCGAGAGAGAAAAGGAATTTACCGTAATCCCCCGAATCATTACCAGGACCTTAACTTGACAGCTTCCGCGATTGTTTCCCCCCGCATTTATGTCGGCGAGCCGCCTTACCCCTGCACTTTGTACTCGCGCGTTATGCAACACAATACAAGGTATGCATCCAAGTATCGCAATTCGTATGATCTTACACGCGTCGTCGTCCTCTGTGCCGATTCGCCAGCGTCGATCCTCCCGATGAGCCAGCAGCTTGATTCCCCGGCGGCGGTGAGATTCGGCCGTGCAACCTCGTCCCAGATTTTCGTCCCGAAAAAGAACGCTCGACCCCCCTCCCCTCCCCCTCTCTTCCGTCGAACCGGCGCTCGTTCGTTCGTTTTTCTCTCTTTTTTTGTATAAAACATGAATGAAAATAAATGTTTGGTTAATATCACGCCGAGCGAGATAGCAACTCGCGCTTTATGTATCTCTCCTAATTCAATTGAAAATACAGCGCACATTGATTCCGCGGGGATTATTTAATTTTTTACGTAAACACATCGTAACAAGTTCGATACGCGTTATAATTAACAATGCGCGTGTAATTTGCGTAATTGATAATCATTAAAATGCGGCACGATATTTTTCACCCGGGGAACGTACACAGAGCGAGAGAACGAGAGAGAGAGTGAGAGAGAGAGAGAGAGAGAGAGAGTGAGAGAGGAAAGAGTGTGACATAAGCTCTCTCTCTCTCTCTCTCTCTGCGCGTACGGCCAATTACATAAAATCCTACAAGACATAGGACCGAATGCGCGCGTGTGTGTGTGTGTGTGTGTATGTGTGTGTGTTGGAATTGGTTTATTTTGCGGCGGTATAAACAGAGTACAGGAAAGCGATATCGCGCTTATTCAATCCTTCAATGTGTCCATTTCCCCGCGGCGAAATGCAATCTGCGCGTCAATAAACGTTATAATCCGGCTCGGCGAGCGTAACCGTGGCAGATGACCGCGCTCGCACCGGTTCAGTTTCCCATCCCCGCAGGGAGAACGAAGGAGATCCTCGTTCAAATCGGAGCGTGCAATAAGACGGAACAACAACAACAAGAACAATGACTCGATGTATATAAAATTCAATGGTTTTATTTAATTGACAAAGTGTTCATAATGAATATTCATGTATGACGCGCCGGCGTGCGCGCTCGCAACGTCCTGGCCGCGCGTGGTACACGCCTTTAATGTAATAACAAATATGTACACACGTAGAGAGTACGTAACAAACTAGTTGATACACTTCGGAGAATGAATGACAGGAAGATAATGGGGGGGGNACCGATCGCGTCCGGTCGTCGGCCGCTGAAGAGGAGGATCGCGAAGGTATATCCTTATGTACAAACGCCCCTCGGATTCTTTCGAGCGGACTAAGAAGAAGAGAGAGAGAGAGAGAGGGACTTTGGAGTCTTAGATTCTAAAGAATTTTCTCCCACACACGCTCTCATCGTCCGTCACTCACACGCTCGCACTGGGCGCACGGCAGCTGGCCGGACACAAGCAGGCAAGGCAGGCAGACAAGCGGAACAGACAGATATTCGATAGGTCGGACAGTCATAGCCCATATCGGCTCGATCAAATGTTCCGTATACTAATCTCAGTGACACGCCGGCCGGCCGGCCGACGGCGAAGACGCCGCGCGCGTACGGGATGATATCGATTTGTCCGTCTCGGGGCGATTCGCCCGCGTGCAATTCCGCCAGACAGACATCGGTACATCCGTCGATCGGGAAGGTAAGTGCGACGCCCGGCTCCGGATCGCACCCGCGGGAGATGTCCAATCACGGCTACATTCGCACGGTGTCCTCCTCCTCGCGAAGGTGTCCGGCTCTATTAGTCGGCCGTTTACCCATTCGCGCGCTCGCCGGCACGACGTGCGCTGATCGTCCCGCCGCGGACTGCTCGAACGCTTCTTCTCGTGCGATGCGACGAGACCCTCCTCCGGGTGAGTCGTCCTCTAGTCGTGTATGTTGCCTCTCCCGTTCTTATCCCTTACTCCCCCTCCCCCTGCTCTTACGGACTTTTTTGCTACGCTTTCGTGAATATCGCGACGGTGCCTTTGGGATGCTTTTGAAAATACTCGAACTGCTTGGCCGGAAGTTTAATCATCGATCGTTTCTCGAATTAGAACACCGTGAATTATTAGTTAATGCGCAAGTAGGTCACGACGGCCCGGAAGGTGAACGAAACCCCCCTCAGGGTGAGTCAACCGCTGTCTGTTGTCTCTCTCGTTCCTTTCACTTTTTTTTTATCGCGCCTTTGCGAACGCAACGCGAAAAAGGAACAATTGGAAAGGATAATTGGAAAATGTCAAGAATGTCTCTACGATGCGTTTCAAAATACGCAGGTTGTCTCAATGGACTAATCATCGATCGTATCTCAAATTAGAATACCTTGAAGGATCAGTTAACGCACAAATAGACGACAATGGTCTAGAGGGTGGACGAAACCCTCAAGTGTGAGTCGACCAACTGTGTGCGTATCGTTTCTCGCTCTTACATCTTCTTTATCGCGTTTTCCTAACGCAAAAGTTGAAAGTACAATTGAAAAATCTCGCGAATGCCTGAGATTCAAGATATTTCAGACGTCCCGGACGTTTAATCGGCGGTTATTCAATAAGTTAGAACACCAAACTGCAACTTCGAACTGCCAATTAATGCGCAAATAAACAAATGCACAAATAAGCGACGATGATCCGGAGAGTCGATAAAATTCTCGAGACGAGTCCAACTACTGTGTGTCATTATTCGTTCTTACTCCTTCACCGCGTTCTCGCGAGTGACGCAAGAATTCAAAGTATATCTGAGAAATTTGGCGAAAGTCAGATTCAAGGTATTTCAGTTGTCCCGGGGACTCGATCGTTGATTGTTTCTCGAATTGGAACATCTCGAGCTACCAATTAATGCGCAAAAAGGGGACGACGGTTTGGCGAGTGAACGAAACCTTCGAAGTGAGTCAACCGCAATGTGTCATTTTTCTTCATCATTCCTTCCTCATCGCGTCTTTGCGACGTAACGCAAAAGTTGACGAGATGATTGAGAAATATCACGAACGTCTCCGCGATTTGAGATATTTCAGCCAGCCGGTGAAATGAATCATCGATTGTTCCTCGAGTTGAGAACAATCGATGAATGCGCAAATAGGCGCCGATAGTCCGAAGAACGAACGGAAGTGAGTCGATCGCATTATCCCTCGTTCTTCCCACTTCTTCGTCGTCGTTTCTTCTCGTAGGCGGTAAATCGGAAGGACAATTGGAAAATCTCGCGACCTCTTCCGAGCTGCTCAGGCTTTCGACCGTGTGAGTCATCATCAGCGGATGCGCAAGTGATCTATTCGAGGCTGAGTGAACGCTACTTGAAAATTTGGATTCGACGATTGGCAGTCAAGAGCGCGCGTCCCGATGACACGAGGGACGGCCTAGAGGGAGACGAACTGGTGCGGCGGCTGGATGATCCGCGGCGGCGGCGGCGGCGACAGCCGCAGGTCCACGTCCGTCAAGGAGAAGGCGGAGCTGCCGTTGGCGGTGACCCGCGGGCCCATATTGTCGTAAGGCGAGCCGACCTCGGCGGTGCGCAACGCCCGACGCGGCAGCGTCGCGAAGCTGGACACGTTCACGCTCGCGGGCAGGGCCGCGGTGGTCTTCACGCCGGCGGCGCCGCTCACCGCGTGGACGGGGATGTCGAGGAGGTCCGGGTAGCAGCGTTCGGAGGAGTCCTGCGACACCGAGATGAAGATGTTGCCGAAGATACCGGCCGGCAGCACCCCGCTGGTGAACTCCGGCGGCGGGGGCGGGAAGACCGCGGCGCAGGTGACCGCGCGGATGGCGGTCTCCGGTCGCAGCCGCTCGACGGTGACGGCCGCGGCGGGCATGGGGTCGCAGATGGAGCCGCGCTCGGCCAGCTCGAGGTCGCCGGTGCTGCAGGCCTCGCCGAGGCTGCCGTGGCCGCTGCCGCGGTCGTTGCTGTTGCCGGGCGTGGTGGTGACCGAGAGGTCCAGCAGCTTCTTCTCCTGCTCGCCGAAACTGCCGCTGCCCTGGAGCTTGACCTTCTCGCGCTTGCTGTGCCGGCGCGTGCCGCCGCAGAGGCAGAGCGCGAGCAGCACCGCCGAGATGGAGGCGCAGACCGCGGCGGCGCCGCCGCCCGCCAGGCTCACCCAGAGCAGCCAGTTGTCGCTCTGCGAGAGGGTCGGCGCCGTGTAGACGCGGGGTATCGCCACGTTGACGGTGTCGCGCGCCAGACCGGCGACGTTCCGGGCGAAGCAGGCGTACTCGCCGGCGTCCCCGTCGCTCGCGTTGTACACCGTCAGATTGCTCCACCGCTCGGAGATCCTGAAGGACCTGTCGCCGCTCACCACGAGGGTGCCGGTGTACGGCTGCTCGGGCCTGCTGGCGTTCACCGGGCCGCCGTTCAGCTGCCACCAGACCTCCGGCTCGGGGTCGCCGCTCGCCAGACACGCCAGGCTGAGGTTGCCGTTCGTCTCCTCCTGTATGCTGCTCGCCAGGACGAAGACCTCGGGCTCGCAGGCGAACTCGGCGGCCTTCACGTCCTCCCAGCGACGACCCTCCAGCCTGGCCGGGCCCGAGCAGATCTGAGAGACGGAGTACAGCTTGCTGGCCGCGTCCGGGATCAGCCAGGCGCGGAGGCCCCGCAGCCGGCAGTCGCACCGCCACCGGTTGCCGTCCAACGTCAGGGTCTTCAGCTTCGACAGACCGGCTATCACCGAGGACTCCAGGTACTCCAGCTGGTTACCGTCCAGCTTGAGGAACTCCAAGCCGGTGAGGTGGGCGAACGCGTCGCCGTGTATCTCGGTCAGGGAGCACCGCTGCAGCTCCAGGTTGCGCAGGTGCTGCAGCACCGGGAACTGCTTCTCGCGGAGCGTGCTGAGCGGGTTGCCGCTCAGTATCAGGATGCGCAGCCTCTCGTTGCCGATGAACGTGTCCGGCTCCAGGCTCGTCAAGTAGTTGTCCGACAGGTCGATCTCCACGAGTATCCTCATGTCCTTGAACGAGTCCGCGTGGATCTCGTAGATGCCGGCGTTCCGCAGGAACACCCGCTGCAGGTTCACCAGCCCGGCCCGCTTGAATATCTCCGCCTGCAGCGCCGGTATCTTGTTGCCGGAGAGGTCGAGCACCTGCATGTCCGGGTCGAGGGACGCCGGCAGCGACGTCAGACCGGCGTCGGGACACAGGGCTGACTTTTTGCCGGAAGTCCACTTGCATCGGCACACCGCGGGACAGTCGGTCCAATCCGGAAAGGCGGCCGCCCGTGACAACAAGGCGAAGCTCCCGATCAGGAGGAAGAGGGCGAGTAGTATGCGCCCTCCTAGAGGGTGACGCCTTGTCACTAACATAACACCGTCCTTTTATCGGTGTACCCGGTGTCTGCTGATCCCTCCGGCCACACCACTGTTGCGGAGCGGCGACGACGACGACGACGACGACACTTGTCCGTCTCACTGGCGAGCTGTGGAAACAAAGGCCTCGCGTCAAGGCGCGCCTCCTAATCGATTGTTTGTGTACCCGGTACTTTTGCGGTCGCCCGTCCGGGGGATTCGTCGCGACGGATTTATCGCTGGCCCACATCGGCACGGCGTTTCCGAGTTCGGGAAAGAAGGAGGGAACGAGTGTGCAAACCGCTCTATCGTATCCCCGAAATAGGAATTTAATATAGGCGGAAGAATAGGACGTCGGCGTATAAAGGACGTCGCGCATAAAAGGAGAAATATTACATTGCCGGAATAACAGATAGCGCGCGACTTTGGTGGGGAATCGTTCCGAGGCGAGTGAGAAGGAGAGAGAGAGAGAGCGCGCGCGCGGGAACGACCGTTCATCACGCGGATGCTTTGAAACAAACTTGTCGCGCTTTAATCGCCGACTACCGCGGCGGTTAGAAGTTCCGCACGAACACGCTTCATCACGCACGATGAATTTGATAACCTCGACGAGTAAGTCGCGGTTTATAAGTAGCGGGTGGACTCGCGGGGGGAGGGAGGGGCAAAATGCGGCGAAACGCGCGCGATGTCGCGAATTGGACGCGGTACGAAAAGAGACTCCTCGCGCGAGATAGAGAGAGACAGACAGAAAGGACAAGATAGATAAATAGATAGATAGATAAATAGATGGACAAAGAAAGAGAAAGAGAGAGAGAGAGAGAAGGAAAGGAGCTTCTTATTCTTACTCGAGCGTCCCGGTAGTAGCCGCCTAAGCGTGCCGTCGGCGACTCTGAATGAGGCCGTCATGCTCGCGCGGACGCTTCCATTGTCTCTTAGGAGCTTTCATTTCGCAAACCTGTCCTCCGGCCGTCGCACCGGCGGCATTATCAGCGGGCACTCGGATCTCATCCTGATTAAGCGGGCGCCATGAGTGCGCGCGGGACCTTAAGCCAGTCCTCTCTCTCTCTCTCTCTGTCTTTCTCTTTCTCAGCCCTCCTCTATAACTCCCGCGCGCGGCGATTTAATCTGGAAAAATTACGAGTCTTACATAAATGACGTGATCTCCCGCGGCACGTTCGCGCTCGCTCGCGCGCATTTGCATTTCGTACCTCGAGAGTGCGCCGGGACGAATCCTTCGGAGTACTTCGCAGCCGCCGATCCTTTGATACGCAGCTCGCCTTGGAACGGTCGGCCGCAGATTCCGCTGCTGGCCCGACGGCCCGACGAAGTCAGAAAGGGAGCGCGTGTGACAAATTATCGATTATGCGAGCGATATGAATTTTAAATGTCGCCTCTCGGTCGCTCCTCGCGGTCGGCATATTAATCAACGGAATATGCCTGTCTCGCCATATTAATCGCTGAGTCCGCGAACGCCGCTAACCCCCTCCCGGCCGACGCGATGTAACCCACACACATACACACAGACGCACGCACACATGCATGCGCCCACACACGCGCACGCACGCCGAGCATAAACGCACCGACGACGAGCGGCTCGCAAACACTTATCATAAATTAATCGCCAGACGCGATGAACGACGAGTCCGCGGCACCGCGATTGGCCCTCTCGCGGCGCCGAGCAGCCGGAAGCGATTCAACGTCGCGGTGTCGCTTTTCGGGAGGCGCGAACACGACACGGCACGCTCGCACGGGCTAATTGAGTTGGACGAAAGTTTCCCGTTTCGCGATTCGACGGCCGAGCGGTGTGCGGCAGTTTCAGTTCTCACCAGTCCGCCGCACTCGCGCGCCGCACTCGACGCTGCGACCGCCGGCGATTCCCGTCGCGGATCAGCGGCGCGGCTCGCCGCGCGGCCGTTCGCGCGGATTCTCACCTGGATCCCTCGCGGCGGTACGCGTCGGCCGCGACGATCCTCGGCCGACCTGACGACCCCGCTCGACGGCCATCAACCGTCGGCGCTCTCATCAGCCGACCCTCGCATCACGTCGCCGCTCGTCAACTCGAATTAGCGCACGTAGCGGGGCAAAAAAAGGATTCCCGCGGACGCGCTTAACCAATCACAGGACCGCTTGCAGCCTCCCTTCGACCTTAAAGACGAGCGTACACTGTGTCTCACTCCCGGAATTTCATCGACTCCGTATCGCGCAGCCGTTCGCACAGCTTTCTCTTCCCCCTCTCTCTCTCTCTCTTTCTCTCTTTGTCTCTCTCTCTCTCTCTCTCTCTTTTACTCTCTCTCTCCCTCTCTCTCTATCGTGCTCTCGCTTACGCTTTACCCGAGCGGTCCAGCGACTCTTCGCGAATCTCACCACGACTCGCGGCCGCGGAAAAAATCGGACACAGTCCGGACGATCTTCGCGACGAATCTCCTCGGTGTGAAACCTTTTGCGGGGGTGACCGGAGGAACGCTCTCCTTCGGCCTCTTTTCAGCGAGAGAGTCGAGCGTAACACACTCACGCTCACACACGCTTTCGACGTCCGAGTCAATCGAATCCACGTCCGTATTCATCTGTTCTCACGAGAGAGGACACCCTCTCCCCCCCCCCTCCACCTGGGATCGGAATCGACGTCCTCCAGCGCTTTCCTCTCCTCGCCGATCAATCACTCTCCGTGCCGGCGAGACCTCGGCGACGACGAAGATCCGCACAAGTTTTCGGTATCCGAGCGTGTCGGAGCGTCGTTGAACGGTAGGACGAAGGGCGGCGCGATCGCAATTGCGATCGCTCAATCGAAACGGCTTATTCCTCACTCGGCGGCACGAAACGACCTTGGGACTCCTCGGAGGGCACTCCGGTACTCCGAATTGCACGGGGATGGACCGCGAGAGGCACACCGGCACCCAAATCCAGGCCGGGTACTCCGATATTGCACTCAGTCACTCTCTCTCTCTCTCTTTCTACCCATCTATCTCGCTCTCTCCCTTTTTCCCTCCCTCTCTCTCTCTCCCTCCCTCTCTCTCTCTCTCTCTCTTCTTGTCGCGACGATCGGCCACGGAGAGCCGCAGATTTGCCGCAGCGGCCACCGACACGACGGATCTGTATCCGCGTATCCGTCCCTCTCTCGCGTCCTCTCCTCTGCGCCCTCCGTCTTCCTCCTTCCGCTCCGTCCCTCTCGCCCTTTTCCCCTGCCCGTCACCTTCCCACTTCGCAACCCTCCATCTCTCCTCTCCGTCCTTCCGTCCCTCCTTTCCTCCCTCGCGCGCAACCCCCTCAGCTCACCCCGCGGTGTTGCGCGTTCACCTTTTCCGGTACCCTGGTCGCATAGCCGTCTGCGGGCAGCACCGTCGAATTCTGGGTAGCGGTTCAATGATAGCAATACTCCCCTTCCCTCGCTCAAAGCGGGGCCGTCCCCGTCGAGAGGACGCACGCTTTTTCAAGATTCTTCGGCGAGTCCCTTCTTGGATGCGCCTTGCTTTCTCACCGAGGATTCCGGAGACGAGAGGATTATTACTGCGGGCGTGAAGAGGAACGTTCGCGGTGGCGAACGCGAGGGACGACAGGGGCGCGACAGCGGGAGTCACGGGAAGCCGGTGGGCTCGTTTGCTGGTGCAAGCGCAGCTACTGCTTTCGTCCGGCCGGAGGAGAATCGATTTTCTCCTCTCGAAAACCCGACATAAGCGTTCTGGGTACACCGTTGATCGTGTCGAGCTGGGTATTAAGCCCCCCGGTAGCTCTCGCCGGTGGATTCTGCGTTATCGACTAAGGTGTGCTGTTGGTACCCACCACCTCCGAGAGCCTACTCCGCGGACTTAACTTCGACCTGACCTACCAGCGGCGTCGCTACTTTGTTCGAAACTTCGGAAGCGAAGCTTTCCACGGATAAATGCTACCGTATGCGCGACGAAATTTGCGAAGGGAGCGAGGGAATTTGACGGAACGGTAAGATGGAAGTGGGTTATAATCGGTGGATTAGACGCGGTGAACTTCGAGCGGGCTCTCGAAGCACGCTCGGCGCCGCCGTCTTCCATTGCGGAATAACGTCGGATTGATCAGTCGAGGGGGGGGGGGGGTACAAGGAAATCGGAAAAGGACTCCTCGACCTTTTCGCAGGACGGAATTACGGCCGATCGTCTGGATGGAGGGCGACGGATCTCGCCGGCGGAAATCGCTCGTCGTTTTTCTTTTTTTGCGTTTTCAAGCTTTTATTACAAGAATATAGTATAAACTTTCGCTCGATAGCGCGCTCCGTCGCGCGTGAATTTTCATACATATAATTGCATCTCTCAAACCCCGCGCAGGCCACGATAGTCATAGCTTCTTTTTTTTTTTTCCGATAGTTTACCGATATATGTATAATAATAGATCTTACGATTAGCTTATCTCGTCTAACTTGTGATCTATAGGTATATCTGGGTTTTTTTTTTCTTGTTTAACTGGAAACATACTTGGCAATTCACGTCTAATAAGTACAACGAAGCATTTTTTTTCTGGTTTTTTTTCTCTCTCTTTTATAATCCCGACCTCTCAACGCCATGGGCGCCGTCGGGTACCCTCCTCTCGCGTTCTCTCCGCCGCAACTTTTGTGACCCGGCGTCGCGCCTGTAATTGATATGTCAATTTTTTTTCCTTACAGCGAAGTTCCAACTCGTTCCGGGGGGGGAGGGGGAAAGCGTAGTTACTGCGAACGTCGACCTCACGGCAGTGCTGGGTATTATTTCCAGCTATTGGCTGAAAAGGGAGACAAGGGAAGGATATTTAATGCGATCGGGCAACGCTACGGTTTTCTCTAAGTCCCGCCCCGGCTCCTAGGCGAGAGGGCATTGCCACGTGTTAACATTTCTAACACTTTAACGGTACGATTCGAAGGGAAACGCCCGATCACGTTCCTCAACTTTGCTCTTTCTCCTCTCTCTCCCTCTCTTCCTTTCTCTTTCTTTTCCACGATCTCGGCGTAAACTAGACTACCGTGCGCGATTACCGTGATTTTCACTACGCTAACGATGTCTGCGCGACGATCGGAATATGTACGCGAATTCTATTCTACTGGTCTGTCCAAGAGTCTGCGATTGATTTCGCATCGTACCTTTGTAATATATGTCCCTGTTCATCGTCGGACAATTCTTCGGACCCTAAACACACATACACACACACACACGTATGAGTATCAGCGGGTGGTAATGCATGTAATCGAGTGGGATGCGCACTTTGCGCTATTACGGCGTACCTGAACATTAAAATCAATGTTCGTCCGCACGGGACGATGATGAAGGGGTTGCGGTGGTCTAAAGTTATTCGCAAGCGGCGCGTTCGGCTGCTTCTCGTCGCCTTGCATCAATTGCCTTAGAGCGTGCAGCTGCAATAATTACAAAGATGAAATGAGCGATTAGCAAATAATGAATAACAAAAGGGAGGGGGGGGAGGGGAGGGGCAAGTGAGATCGCAGCGAGATTTTTCGCCCCGAGTCATGTGAGTCTATCACGCGCCCGAAAATTCACATCAAATTTAACCCCGATCCGATTCTCGCTATTCTATATATTGCATAACGAGTGGTACAAGTGATTTTATCACCTCAGTGAAAGCGGTCGATATCAGTAATAACAACATTTGCAATTCCGATGCGGCGACTAATTTAAATACACGATCGATTATCGCAAATGTCATTTTCGCGAAATGAGCGCGGAGTTGCGTAACTTTATAGTAAAGATACACATTTAACGCCCATCGTGTAGCGCAAAGTACCCGTGTTATAGCATCCCTTAATGGATCCCACGTTCTTTTTATAAAACCGTCCACATCATTAACTCGCGCGATACCGAGCGGCGCTCCACAGTTTTCCGCATCTTTAGTTGTCTCAGGCAGAGACAACATTTCCGCGTGCGTGTCGCGATATACAGGGTGATAACTATGGCAGCAACACCTCGAGTGTTCTTCGAAAAGTACAAATATTTGATTAACGAATAGATGAAGATGAAAGAATTTACATTTACAGAAGGTGTTGGCGAATTGGTGTGTTACGATGCAATCTCTCCGTTAAATTCAGTCAGATTCTACCGCTAACCTCGTATCTCGAAGATATTCAAGGTGATAATGGTTATCGCCTCACTCTGTAGAGCCGAGGTAAACCGAGGCGAACTCGACGAATGAGATCTCGAATATTTTCACCATTGTGTCGACAACGCGGGTAAAGCACGAGACTCCTCCGTGCTCGGGCAGATCAACGAAGATCCCGCGCGGAAATCCGACGAGCATGATTTACGATAGCGTCGCGTCGACTTCGGTATAAGTGCTCCCCTCCCCCCTCCCCCTTCCCGTTTTCGCTTCGCGATACTTTAATTATCCCGAGTTATCCGTGAAGTACGGCCGAAGTTGCCCGATGTTTCAAAGACTCCCCTCTTAATGATCGCAATTAATTGCATAATTGAGTAGCCGCTGTACTCGCTCGCTCGCTCTCCCGCGAGAGAGCGACGAGTGCGGGGGCGTGTGCATGCATTTTAAGAGCGGCGGCGATACTTGCCTGCTGCTTGGTGATGTATATGGGCTTGTTGAGGATGATCCATGTGGTGGTCTCGTGACACGCCGGCATCGTGGTGGAGCCGTCGTACGTCATGTAATGCTTCGTGTCCGGCAGAAGTTCGCGCACTCCGAAACGTTTAATTTCCATGGCCTGCCCTGTGCAATTCATACGGTCGATAACGTCAACTTCGCTCACGTACATATGCATACACCACGGGGGGAAACATGCATACACATGTAGCCATGCATGCATGTATGCATACATGCATCTATGTATACACACACACACACACACACATATATATATATATATATATATATATGCGCGTCGCTCGATTACATTGACGTTGCGGCACACAGTTGATACGTGTACGTCCGTTACGTATCGTTAATGTTATCGCGCATGCCGCTCGATCATATTTGCATACGTCAAGGAACACTCGCGCGTCCCCTTAAAGAATGATGGTAATTATCGATTTATCTTCCTTCTTGGCAAAAACTTGGCGACAATAGCATGCGAAGTTTTTCGAAAGTTATAATGCATGTCACCGCCGCCGCCGAACTTTCGGGGATACATCAATCTTTCGACTTCCTCATCCGAAAGCGCCTTTTTATCCCGAGATGTAAACTTATTAAAGGGAAAGAGAAAAACGTAAAACGGAAGCGGGAGCGAGAAGAAGAGGGACGGTGTTTTCCGAAAACACCGGTAACTTTCCGCTCTCGATTCGCGAGAATAAAATGCGGCGCGACGCGGCCAGGTCGGGGGTATCGTTTCGATTAAAATACGTTAGCGTACGGATGCAAAATATGACACGCTAACGACATTCGCCCCTGGTGAAAGAGATATAATGCCATTAATCTCCCCCGTTCGTTATGCTAATTCCCGGCTCATGTGACGGAATATCAGAGAACATTTTTCAAGAGCGGCATGAGCGAAAATTCGCCTAAGCTAAAACGAGATTATCGCTTCCGCCGAAATCTATTGCGGATCTCTCCCCCGGTCCTAAAATAGAATCGGCCCGTAATATTATTGGCTTTCTCACCTCCGTATTTGATTTTATCCAGCTGCTCCGTGAAGGTTCTTAACTCCGGGTTCGAGCGGTCGCCAACCTAGAACAGCACCAAGAGAGAAAGAAAAAGAGAGAGAGAGAGAGAGAGAGAGGGGGAGAGAGAGAGAGAGAGAGAGAGCGAGAGAGCGAGAGAGCGTCGTAAGACGTATCGCTCATTCCGATCTTTATTCGTGGCGCGATAAGCGCCGCGTCGACCGAGATTAGGCATGTACCTGCAAAAGAAGCGACACCGCCACGATCCCCTGTGCCCGGTGCAGGGCGTCCGAGAAATTGTTGTAGAGCTGCGAGTTGAAGCCGAATATCTGGAGCTGCGCGAGAACAAAGGACTTAAGACATATTTAACGGCCCTAAGAACCAAGGCGTCTCCTTCTTCTTAGACTGGAAAAATTCTTCACACAAAACACGCAAGCGAGAATATTCCCGAGGTGATCGCCGAGTTCGATAATTTCATCGGTGTCTTACGTTCGGAAGAAGAAAAAGAGAAGGAGAGGAGAATCTGACTTCAACGGGGGAATTTAATTTAAGACTTAATCGAGTCGCCAGACTTTCGCTTCGGTCAGGGATGAATATAAAACGCGACGAGGAGATATCGGGACTCTTTGGGAACATTGTTACCGATTTCGATCATTGTCTTCGTCGTTTGGTACCTCGGCAGGGAAGGCGTGCCCGTCGACGGTGTGCTCACTGCCGACGCGATCGTCCGCGCCGAAGTGCAGATGAATCTCGTGAAACTGATAACGATAGCTGAGCGGACCGCCGGATATGTTGACGGGATGACGGGTGTCGTTCTCCACGGCGAACACGACGCTGTGCCCGGTGTTCGCCAGTACACCGTTGATTCTGTGCTTGTCCAGATGAAGCGGTTGTAAATTCGGGTCGAAAAGCAGCCGAGTGGGCTCGAGATTGACCGGTGATTGTCTTCGACCTTTGTTACAGAGCCACCATTCCGGGTTGATGAGACCCCAGAAGGCGGGACCTTCGGAAACGATTAAATTATTCGACGGGCGTTTATTCGACGCAACGCACCGGCAGAGTATTTCGACATGTCGATATAAAAGCGTGAAATTCTCACCGGAAATACCGTCGTACGTCCACCATTCCTCCCAGCTAACGGGTGTCGATTCTGCAAACGTTTCATTATTAACAAGTGACATCTTCGCAAGATGTGTAATCATTATTATTACAACAACTAATTACGGCCGATATCCTCGAACGTACAATGAGATGTGCTTGATGCTTGAATGTTTTCTTTTTATAGAAAAATAAAAGAAACTTGGCATCTTCCACATGGAGAGAAAGACTGGGTGAATTAACGTGACAATGAACGAACCAAACGCTTTTTCTTTGAAAAAAAAAAAGGAACAGAATTTCTGGTTCTTATGGAAGAATTCTTATGAAGACCAAATTTAGTTCATAAGAACGGAAAATTCTGTTTCCTTCAACGAAAACATGTTTGCTTCACTCATTGTCATTGTTAACACGTTGACTGCCACGGAACATTTCACGATTCTGGTCTAAAAAGACAATTTGATTTAATCATGTTATATTATTAAAAACTTTAATTATAGTACATAGTAATAATCAAAAAGCTTAAAAAATGTTTAAAAAAAAAAACATGTTACGAATTATCTCGTAGTTGGCGTCCTGTGCAAGTAAACAACCTACGAGATATCTCGTAGTTGACAGTCAACGTGTTAATTTAATCTTTTCCCTCCGTGTGTACAATATCGGCGTCACGTATGCTGTATCATTTTCTAGATCAAACATTACAAGATTTTCAGGCTTCACCACTACTCATTAGGTCAAAACCGTTACAATCAGAACAATTATAACGCTACCATCATAATTAGAGTTATTTACGCTATTTTCTACTTTATGGATTATATTTAAAGCTAAGAATCGTATAGTTTTCCGTCTAGCAAACACTGCACAACATATATGACGTCGAATATATAGCGAACGATGTGTGTCTTAGTCTTATCACTACACAGTAAAAAACAATCTGTACTTATATTAAAATCGATCTTTATTAAAATATTTTATGTTAAATTTGTAACATACTCGTGTGTTAATTTAACATATTGTGTTTATGTCACCGCAACATTTTGTGATGTGTCGATATTCAACATATGTAAATGTGGAAGTAACACATTTTACATCTCAGTGCCTATTAACGTAACATATTTTACACCTCAGTGTCGATTAAACGTAATCTTGTGTTGACATAAGATATTTGTGTTACTTTCCAGCATATTCACTTTGTGTTAAATTAACATAAAAATTTGGGATGTGCGAAATGTATTAAATTTAACATAAAATTTTTTACTGTGTAGCGTTATTTGCACGATTTTCAAACTTACACATTACAGGGGAAATCGAATCGAGTTGGTCATAATCGTTTCGTTTATATATTTATTACATATCTATTATAAGAGAAACAATACGAAAAGCAGCGAAAAATTCCTTTCAGAACACAGGTATTCTTCCCACGATTGGAAAGGGGACGTTTTACGATCCTTTTTCCGCCGTGACTCTCGCGATAAATATATGAATGAAACGTACAGCCAATATCACCCTTGGGCCATCTTGGAACGGTCTCCCCTGCGCGTAAGATTGAAAATCGTAGGAAACCCCGGCAAATAAGTGTTGAGGCATCTATTGAGCCCACTACTCCATGCCAAGAAGAGAACGCATATATCAAGCTGGGCTAAAAGAATGATGCCGGGTGAGGCATTCGCCACTGCGGGGCAACGAGAAAGTACCTTGTATCAAAATGACCACGAACACTCCCCAGACACCCAGGAAGACGGAACTGAAGAGGGCCATTCCTAGCGCTGCGCAGTCTTCGTCAATTGAACATCATTCGGCTCGTTTCTGCGACAAAGAGAGAAGGAGAACCAGTTGATTCGGGGGTTAGGTCGAGTGTGCTCGCGTGTCGCGCGCTCCCTCACGTGCCCCCTCTCCCCTCTTCCCGTCCTTCGAAGGCCCGCGCACGCTTTCGGAGGTCGCGACTTTCGCCCTCTCGAGCAACTTATGTAGCATGAGCCACCCTCTTCGCCAGAAAGAGAGGGAGGAGGAGAGGGAAACCGAGCCGGGTAACTTTCGCGAGGGGTTCCCCCCTCGCGATCCGCGATAACGTAATTGATCCGTCAACCATGCCGGCCAAAAAAAATCCGCGGAACCGTCGTCGTCGGCTCCTAATCTAATCGCTCGGCGTCACGCGACGCGACGACTCCTCGTGCGCGCCGACGCCGCCGTCGAATTTGCATCCGACGCTCGTTCCGCGCGAGAGAGTTATCGCGACGCGATAACCCGCACACGTTACGACGCTCGCGGGTGACTCGCGTTGCTGCGTGGTGCGAAATCGGCGTCGCGTATCTGCCGCGTTACGACGCGCCGGGAGGTCCGCCAGATTCGTCGTCTTCGTCCGGCTTAGAGATTAGAAGAAAGGGGAGAGAGACTCTCTTCCGCTGGTTCCTCTTATTCTTCTTCTCGTCCCTCGGGGTTATTCTCGGGCAGAGCAACAAGAGAGTGCCGGGACAGCTCGACGGGTGACGCGGGCAAGAAAGAAGAGACAAAATCCGCAGTCATCGTTGTCCGGCGTCGCTTAAACGGGGGCGGGGTCCTCCACTTCGTCCCCACTCTGGTCCATTCTGGAGTCCACTCCACCCCCGGGTACCGCGGCATTCGAGCGGCTGTATTCTTAGGTCAGGGAGAACTCGAGTGCGCGGCTCGCTTCGATCGATCGATCGGATCTCCGCGTTCATACGAGGAGGAGCGGACTGTCGCCGGAGAGAGAGAGAGAGAGAGAGAGAGTACGTGCTTTCTCTGTGCGCTCGTGAATTTCAAAAGGTAGCCCGCTGCTCTTCGTCGTTGTCGTCGTCATCGTCTTCGACGCGTCAGCCGCGCGACTCACCTTCTCTCCTGCTCATCCTCTCTCTCTCTCTCTCTCTCACCTCGCCTCACCGAGCTCATCGATGTGTCTTCGGGATGGATACTTTTATCGCGTCGGATCTCGCCGCTGAAATATTTCGAGCCTTCACGCTCATCGATCGTCTCGCACGTAGCCACTTCATCCTGCTTTAGTCGCCTATCGACCGATACAAACGGATTTTCCCCCGAAACGCCGAAAGTTCGCGTTCCCTGTGAATTCTCCGAGTTCATCGTGAGGGGAAGGGGTGGAGGGGGGAAAGAGGGGGTGTTAGACGCGGAAGCGCGACGGAAATAGCAGTCGATCGTTCATATCTGCCGGATCAATTTCAAGTCGGAATTAACGACGAGCTGACTTTTCGTAGATTTTGTAATTACATCCTTCATCGATTATACGGATAGAGAGAGAGAGAGAGAGAGTGAGGGGGGGGGAGGGAAAGAGGAAGAGGGAGGAACANAGTAAACGCATCGATCATGGGCTAATTCGCGTTGACGAAACTTGCTCATGTTAATTCTGCCCGCATTAACACAACCCGACACTTGTGTTTACCGCGCCGATAAAGGTGAGCATCGGTAGAAAAGAAACCGAACGATGGAAACTTGATTGACATTATTTTCCGCCACTGTCCGATACCGGAATAACTCGGCATTTAGACGAGAACGCATTTCATAAAACGCTCTTCTGTTATATTTCCGAGAATATATAACGAGATAATTAAGTCTGACATTATATGATTGATTTTCTATGAACTTTCTATGAACTGTCTGACATGTGTAAGCAGTGAATGAGTTAGAAAGATCCCCGGCTGTTTCGCTCATATTACAAATTGTTTCACTCATATTACGAAAGTTTTCGTCACTTATTCAGCCCGCGACAAATTTCTTTCCCCAATCATCGCCCCGAAACTCGAAATATTTCATTAAACATTGCGTTTTACTCACGGTATTCTCAGTTTTTCTCTCAGCCTTCAGATTTCGTACTCGACATCGAACAGAATATTGATTTCCTGTCACATGGGCCTATCCACCATCAGGCCCGTGAGAAATGACGAAAGTGACAGTTACCTCTCTCGAAGAAGAAAGTGACGGAGATCGGCTCGGCATGCTGGCAGAACGCGAGTTCCTTGTCGTTGTTCTTTACTCAACAACAGAAGGACTTTTCCAAGCAGAGAGAGAGAGAGAGAGAGAGAGAGCCAACAGTGGACTCAAATCGTTATCACGGCGGATCGATTCGATCGAAGGACGTGGCCGCCGCCACCGAAGGGATTAGACGAGACGGGCTCACCGCGGGGCAACAAACATTCCGTCCGCGCGATTTGAATCCCTGACCGCGCGCCGAGCCGAGCGACGCGCGTGTTTCGGTTCAGCCACGCGCGCACAGGTCACGGCGTCCCGACCCGTCGCGAACGAAGAAGGATCGGTCAACCCTCTCTCTGACAGGCCATCGCCATCAATCGCGATCTCTCTTCCGCATCAATCGCTCGCAGCCGCGCGTGTCGATTGTCCGCTCAATCGCAACCTCAATTCCGATCGTATACCTCAATTGCGAGCCCTTCGCACGTCACGACTGCCCTGTTATCTCGATCGTACGCGTCGCGTCGTCCTCGCGTCTCTCTCGCGTCTGCAAATATCCGTTACCTCTCTCCCTCTCTCGCTCGCTCGTATATAGCTTGTATTTTTTTACTTACACCTCACGATCTCTTCCACCCCAATTGCCTTCTATCTCGTACGTCGGATCGCTTCGCTTCTCATATTCGTTGCGCGACTCGGTGCGTAGTCGCGCGACCGACGTACATCCTGGCGTTATTATCCTTGCCAAGGGTAATTGCACCGACCCTGCCGAGCACGGTTCTTCGACGGCACTCGGTGCTACCTCTCGAAAACGCTCTACCGCGGATCGTGGAAGATCAAGAGCCGGAGGAAAAAAACACAGCCGGAGGAATAGAGAAATCGAGGAAGATAGACTAGGAGAGGGAGACAGGTAGATAGATAGATAGAGAGAGAGAGAGAGAGAGAGAGTGCGAGAGAGTAGGTGCACGCAGGTGCGACGAGGGGCAGGAGCCCGCGCGAATCGATCGCGGGGCCGCGACGCGAAACGCCGCGACGCGGCGACGAACGGTGCGGCCGAAAATTCGCGTGACGAGCGAAACGGTGAACGCGCACGGCGTCTCTCCTGCGGAAATCAATAAGCGACGATCGCGAGCGTTGCGCGAGAACTCCTCGAGCGCGCTACGTCCGACACTCTCGCGCCGACGAATCGACTCCGGCGGCGTACGGGCGCGTACCGGCGAAATTTCAAGCCGGAAAGTCCCCACTCGAAGGAAAGAGAGAGATAGAGACAGAGAGAGAAAGAGAGAGAGAGAGAGAGAGTCCTTCGCCTGTCCCTCCTCGGCCACGGGGATACTGACCGTGGGCGACCAGCAGGAGACGACGTCTTCCTTTTCCTCCTCCTCCGCCTTCTCCACCGGCGCACCACTTGTTCCACCACTTCTGCCGTCGACGGCGGCGACGACGACGCGCGACGCGCCACGCAAGCCGGAGCTCTCCTCTTCGAGGACGACGCCGGAGGACGATGCCGCCGTGCAGCGTCGCGGCAGGTTCGCGCGGCTCCGGAGCCCCGAGAGCTACCTCTCTCCGGATACTCCCTTTCTTCTATCCGCCCGCCACCCCTGCTTCTTCCTCGTCCTGTCTCTCTCGTCTCCTCCACCTCCTCCTCCTCCTCCGCCTCCTCTTCCTCTCCCGTTCGCCGCTTCTTTTTGCCCGATCACGGAATAATTTCGTTAAAAGCGCACGGCGGCGAAGGAACGACGAAGGAGGAACGACTGCCCTACGAGGCGACTGTATACGTCCCTCCTCGCGCGCGCGTACTCACCCCCGTCCCCCTCCGTCGCTCCGTCGTTCGCTCGCGCGGTGTCTTTCTCTCTTTCACCAGCGGCGGCCAACCCTCGGTGTCTTTCTCCCACGGCGGAATCGCGGCGCACGCGCCAGGTGTGTCCTTTCTCTCTGCCCTCCGCGTGCGCGCTCCGTCCTCCACTCTCTCTCTCTCTCTCTCTCTTTCCTCCTCTATTTCGCCCCTCCGCGCCCTCTCATCCTCTCGTGCGCGCGATCTATTTCGTATTCGTTCCTCCTGCGCGCGGCCCGTTGCTCGCTCGCTACGTTCGCGTTTGTTCGGCCGCCGCATCGACGCGTCCGCGGACACCGAGGACGAGACTTTCATGCGAAACTTTCCACCGGCTCGTCCGCTGGCTCTCGGCCATCGTCGTCGTCGTCCTCCTCGTCCGCGTCCTAATCTTCCCCAAGGACGTCTGCGCACTCGGAGAAGTCCCCGCGAGTCGGGACGAAAGGAACGCACCGGCATGAAGAACACGGGGAGGAAAGAAATACTCTCCAGGATTCTCTTTCGTCCTGTTCTCCCTTTCCATCTCCCTCTCTCTCTCCCTCTCTCTCTCTATCTCTCCTTCTGCACGGATCCCGCGTGAACCGGCTCGAGTTACGGCGAATTGACCTATTTGCGGAAGAAGGGGTGGCTTACGTTTCTCTTCTTCGGTAGGGCGAGGATTCCTGCCGCTTGCGAGGAACCGTAAGCTGGATAAGGGCGCGCAATGTCGGAGAGCGCGACCTCGGCATGAGAGTGCGATCTCTCTCTCTCTCTCTCTCTCCTGCAATTTCCCTTCTCTCTTTGTATGCAAGCGACGGCTCGATTGCGCTCGACGGTGGCATCGGAAAATCTTGGAGAAGATCCCCGCCTTACCCCCCTATCGCTCTATTCGCCTACCCTGCTTGCACCCCCGTCGCGAACTAGCGTTTCTTTTCTTCTCGGGACTTACCGCGCGTAACCAGAGCGCGCTATTATATCGGACGTTCGGTCGATCCCGGGGTTGCTTCTGCTTTTCGGAGAAGTATGCCAGGAATTTATAGAATCCATCGGGGATATCGGCGAACTGATCTCCGCGCGTCTGGATATTTCCTGAGCCAACATCGGCGCGATGTATACGAATACGGACGCGGATGTTCGACGTAATTATCGCGTCGGGGAAGCTAAAGGGAAATAGAAAGGGAAATTCTACGGATTCGCTTTTATTCGACGATAGAGTTGCTATGCTATTCTTAGGGATCCTCGTATACCGACCTTGCACACGATATTACCGACCAACTGTAAAATTAGATCGGTGACGGCTCCTGCTGCCCGGATTTAACGCAATCCGCGCGGAATAACTTCCTTCCGGCAATTTTCGCACTTTTACACCGAATGGCGGGAAAGTCGTGAGGATCTCAAGTTTCGCGCGCCGTGAGAGTATCGGTCGCGGCAACATCGTCGTCGGAGTTCCACGGATCTCTTTGCCGTGTTCTCCCGACCGAGGGGCGGGCTCGCCCGTTCGTTTCTCAACTCTGTCGCCGAAGTGAGGTAGAATGCAGGCGATATCGCCCCGCGCTAATCCTGTCATCGGCATCGGCCCCGCGGAACTTTACGGCGACTTTCGGCTCCTCCTCGGCCGGAGGTATATCGATAGACACATCGAGGCGAAATTACGCTCGGGGATCCTCTGGCGTTGGCGTTTCGAGGTCACCGGGCGCCCCCGCCAGGATCTCCGGCGCGGATACACCGAAAAGCCCCTGACTGGTCGACTACGCGGAGGCGCTTATCGATTTTCAAAGCGGCATTGCCCCGCGTACACCGCTCTCCAGGTCGTCGTCGTTGTCGTCGTCGTCCTGGTCGTCGTGCACGCGAGAAACAGAGAAAAAGAAAGGAGAGAGAGAGGGGAGGCAAAGATGGATGGAGAGGAAGGGGAGAGAGAGAGAGAAAGACAGGGGGAAGGAGAGAGAGAGGGAGAGAGAAAGAGAGAGAAAGAGAGGTGAGAGGTTCTGGTACGATCGTGCAACTAGCCGATGCGACGCGTCCGAATGTCCGGATGCACTCTCGCGGCTGCATCTGATTGCCCGTTGCACATGCAAGCGCCGCCGGTCTCGTCGCTGGGATATTGGATTCGCCGCGAGACTTATGCTCGAGCTTCGTCCGCGTGTGTCGGCACGTCCCACAACGCGCGGCAGCGACGATTATGGGTTATCGATATTGCGGACTTAGCTCGCCACGTCGGGCCGCGCGAGCCGCCTCATGGATATGCAAAAATGTAAAAACGCTTCCCCAGACAACAGGGGCGGGAGTGTTTGGCCGGCGATCGTGTCGCCCTAGCGTGGGCAAACTAGTTTGCCTCTTTCGGTGAACACGCCAAGAGACGCCCGGCAGCACCGAAAGGCTACGGCCACTGAACAAATTCAGGGCGGTGTTTTTGGTCGGCGTCCGATAGTATGACGGTGAGAAGTAGTCGACAAAAAGGTAGACTGCGCAGGAAAGATGGGTTGGAGGAGAACGAGCAGAGGGAAAGAGAGAGAGAGAGAGAGGGAGCATTACATAAAACTACCGGCGGCGCGCACACAAAGCAAAGATATTGCTCATTTTGTACAAGGGAATATTGTAGAATTATGGTTACGGTACACACGTGGCTACGTGTTTGTTCGCGACGAAAATTATGTAGGCGGCCGCACTCTGCCTGTCCAAACTGCTTACGAGCGAAGAAATGTTCGCATTAATTAAAAGAAAGATGTGATAAATGAACGTTTGCCTGGTGGGAGAAGGGAAAAAAAATAGAGAGGAAGGGAGGAAACACACGTGGTGGCTTGACTCCATTAAGCTTCTCATGTATTTATCATAAGGCTGCTCCCACTTCAAACACGGCGGTGTTCTACTTACATGAGATAGCGGGCGGTTCATCTTTGCGAAAATGTATAGGAGCATCTAGCCGTGTCACGTGACATTATGTTCTGTCAAAACTTGGCGCGGCTTTAGAAGCGTTATTAACGACTGCAACATTTCCATATCGCATATTTCACCCGGGACCCGCGTCCCGAAATGTTACAATACGATTACCCGACCCGAAAATACGAGTTTAAATTAGTGATTACGTTGCAAATTTCGGAAGTTAAATTAGGCAATTCATGCGTCGCGCCATCCCCGCGCAGAAGCGCGATAAATATTTCGCGGGGGGCTTTCGGGACTCTTTCAATGTCCGTTTGAGCGCGTAATTGCTGTAATTCGATAGCATAAGCACCGCGCGGTTTATGAATAGTTATTCATGCATTATTATTGGCTCCGACTGCGACGATCTAATTATTATCAGTTTCCGATATCGTATTTATTAGCGTGACCGCCCACCCGTCGAACTACGGATGCGAGAGAGACTCGGAGCGGATGAATGAAACGGGATGCGAGCTAAGAAAAGACGATGATCCAGATATGAGAATAGTAGCGTTCATAAATATGCCCGATCTTCTCGCGCGCCGTAAAAATTGTAATCGCATTAGCATTTTTGCCGCTGGATTCTCTCAGGGAGCGCGCGGAAAACCAGTTTCCCGATGTTCGAGGGAAGATCCTTCCATTCTTTCGCGAGAGATACGACGCGCGCCATTCACCTACCCTACAGATTCGCGCCTTCGATATCAAATTCGCCGCCGCGAAATCATACATCGAGTGCCGCCGTTTAATTTTTCTATCGTTTACGCGAACATCGCGCGTTACCTCCCGCGAATTTCAAATAACCACAAAGGACGTCTCGCCGGAAGAATTCCTGGCCACGATACGTCTGTACACGCGGCAATAA